TCTGCCGTTTTTAAAACCGGCTGGGGGCTCCTCACTAATGACTCTGCCCCAGAGGGGGTTTCGAAAAGAATAAAAAAAAAAAAACCGAAGGGGGGGGAGGGGGGAGCTGTGGCCGCTGCGGGTTTGAGGGAGCGGCGCTCCGGCTGCTCCTGCTGTGCCCTGGGCGCGGGGGCAGGTGGCAGCGGGGCACGGGGAGCTGGCGGCCGCAGCGCCGGGCGCCCGAGGGGGCGTCGCCTCAGCTCGCCGTGCCCGCAGCGTCCCGCCGCGGGAGAAGTGACAGCAGGCGTCGAGGGAAGGGGGAGCGCGGTGCCGCCGGCCAGAAAAAGTTACCCTCGCGGAGGCGTCGACCCGCGTCTGAAGGCGCCCGTCGGCGGCTGGGCTTTGCTTTCGAGGCGGGATTAAACTCCTCAGGCGGCGGGTCGGCAGGTGCCACCGAGCCGCGGGGGGTGCTGCAGCCACCGCCGGCCCCTGAGGGGCGGCCGGTCCCGCCGCCCGTTGGCCGCCTCAGGGCGGCCGGTCGCTGCGGGAAGGGCGCTCGCCTGCCGCCCGGTCCGGAGCATCTTGGCCTTGGCATCTCTCTCATGAGCTGTCTGTAGAGAGTAATTCCCTTTGGGCGGAGTTGTCCGCGTTGATTTAGATCAGTCTGGTCTCGGGGGTGACAGCTTGAATGACGCCTTACCCCCCGGGTCAAGCACGGCTCGTGGTTTCTGACAGATGTGGTAATTTGCTGCTACGTGCTTTGCTCCTGTAAGGAAGGTTTAGCAGACAACTGCACGGACCTTGGCCCGGGTGGTCCCCAAGGATGACCCAGTCCTGCAAAAATTCGTGTGCACGTGTACGTGTGATCCTTTAAAAACTGTACTGGTGTTGGGCATTTTCTCATTCGGATCTAATCCCCGTGCAAAGTTATGATGCGTGTGTGTACAGATTTTGCAGGTTTTGGTAGAGGATTCTCGTATCTGACGGTGGAATTTGGTTTACAAATTAAAAAAAAATTCTTTAGGTGATGCTGCTCATCACACAGCAAGTACTGTTAAAACAATGGCAATACTTACCTGCACTAAAGCATTTTACAGTATCTGCTATATTTGTAATGGAAAACTGCAAATACTTGTGGCAGATGCAAAGATTCTGACTTGTAAATGCATGTGTTCCGAAGATAATTTAAGTTACAGTGTAAACTAAAGTAATGTAAGTGGTACCAAGTGCTTATTTGTTTACTTATGTTTCTTGTTCACTGATCCCAAATGCTATTCTTGGAACTGTTCAAACAGCTGATCTGCATTCAGGTTAGATAAACAGGCTGCTAAAGCCACAGATGTACATGATTCTATAGACTTTAATAAAATACACTAATTTAAATACGTGCTTCTCAGGCAGATTTCTCCTAAATCCCAGTTATATTTTGCTTTTTGCCTTTTTTTCCTTTTTCCTGTTCTTCAGTCCCTCTTAGAACTTCAGTCCTTCCTAACAGGTACAAAGCTTTAAACCATATTTAATTAATATGGGAGTCAATGAAGAGACAACATCTACAGAGAGGACTGTGTGAGTTTATTTTACGCCATGCAACTCAGCATGCAGTCAAGAGCTTGCAGTGACAACTTTCTGTCAAGGGTTGTCTTCTGAGTAGAGTGCCAGGCATACTGTTGTTGCCAACAAGTAAGTGGTAATAATCACTGTACAGTAGTCCTTTTGGACTCTGCCAGTGCCGCTCCTTCATCTGCTTTCTTTCCCTTCCTGGAACCTCAGTCTGATCATTGCACAGTGGTGGAAAATACTTAGAAAAAGAAAGTTACATTGGAAGATAAGGAGTAAATAAGAGAAAACTGGTTTGTAACTTACCAAAAAAACCCCAACCAAAACTGCCTCATGAAAGCTTACCTTGGCTTCAACATTGAAGTTTAATCATACAGCTGGAATTTTAAGAGCAGGTGAGAAGCGTTAAACAGTGAGTGTTTGAGACAAGTGATGCAGAAACAGTGTGAGCAATGAATGCTTGCTGTCTATGAAATGGCTGCAGGGACCATGGCCTGTCATGTTCTCAACTTATGGCCCTTCTCCAACACATAAATATCACCACAGGATTAGTCACGCTGTGTTTGTCATCCTCTCCGTCAGTCAGCAGGCTATAGGAACCTGTGTATGTGGAAATGATGAGAAGGAGAGCAAGAGGTGCTTGGCTATTGCAGATTATCCTGTTCTCCAGTGGTCTTTCATACACATCTAATACCGAACACAGGAATTAACCATGTGGAAGCTCTTATATTTGGCTTCTCCAGACAAATGAACGTCCTTTCTCCCTCACCAAACCATATTTTGGAAAATAGTAATGCTGCTCTTTGTACTTGAGTGAGATCCTGCAAGGTGAACAGAGTAGTCAGAGTATCATCATGATGCCAGTGCCAGCTTGATGCATGTGCCACAGGGTGCCATGCTTCAGGAGGCCTTACATCAAGGCTGTGTTGTTTTTCAGTAATAGCTTATGGTAAATGCTGCATATTTTATGGTCATTCAAATGTTTATGCAAACTAAAAGACATAATTTATTTTCCATATTCAGAATTGAAAATGTCTGAAGACATATGTGATGGCATCCCATCTGAAGAAAAACCTGAAGTAACGGAAATGCCCAGCAATGAGGTATTGCCTCACGAGTCAGTACCACACCTTGTGGAAGCTGAAGTTTTGCATGAGTCTTCACAAGATGAACATGGACAGGCCGCTCAGAGTGCCAGTAATAGACAGGAAGGAGACATATTTATTAATGAAAACCCTTTGACTGAAAAAATAATTGAAAGTCTGCCTTCCAACGGAGAGGCGACTGAAGACATGCCCAGTGAGTGCAATGAGACTGTAAGCCTTGATGCAGAACCTGAATCTGAAGAAACACTGCATGAACAAAGCAGTCCAGTAAGTAATACTTTCTTTTCCATAAAAGCCCTCCCCTCCCTGCTTTGTAAGGACAGAATTTTGTACAATGTACATACTGTTTTTCACAAAAGCCTAGGGAGTTGTATACAGAAAACCTGCATGGGAATAAAAAAGTTAAATTGCAACACCAAGCTTTTGGAAACTACGAACAGTTGAATTTCTCTTTGCCATTATGATATTAATTTGGTCTTTCTAGTCTGGTTGCAGTAAAACTATACCAGAGCGTAAATCTTATTAAGAATCTAGTCCATTTTGTATAGTCATAATACTCCTGTGATTTTGTTATCTGGCTTTCTGTACAAATCTGCTTCATTCAGTTCACAGAATGAACCTAGAAGAGGACAGAACTTGAGCTTAATATGCAGCACTGAATCTTGTACTTGCTAATTTTCAAGTCATTGACTTTACGAAAACAGTGTATGTTTCACAAGGCTTGGTGAAATGGCCAGTAGTTTTTGATTTGTTCTAGGTCAGTAGGTTTTGATTTGTGATGCACAGACCTTTGGGAGTCCTGTGAGTAATTGCAAGTTAATCAAAGAAAACTAAGAAAAACAAGGCCTTTTTACAGTCTATACAGCATCCAAATCCAATACATGTGACATATCTGAAGATGTTCTCAACTCCACTGAAAAATTTTAGGCATCCACAAATTGGAAAAGGTTAAAACATTGTTTTAGTCCCTCTACCAGTGATCCCCTCCACAGGGATCTGTACACTGCACAATGCAGAGCTGTGTTGGGATACTTTAGCTTTTGGGTTTGGATTGATTGTGCAGGGATGATATGTTACTGGAGACTTTCTTGAGACAACAGTTTCTTAATATGATTTAAATACGGAATACTGATAATCGCTTAATACCACACATTAATGTAGAAGGTGGGCAGCACCTCCTATGGCTGTGTTTTTATTGAACTGAGGAGTTCCCTGTGCACATCTACTGGGTTACACCTGTGAGGAGACTCAGGCAGAGAAGCCTCTAACTCTGGCTCCTGGTAGAACTCAGGAAGGAGACAGGTTCCTGCCTCTCCCTAATAAGAGCCCTAATAAACTTGTATGGCTTTATAGGATTGAGTGCCTGAAGAAATATTAGGACATCTATAAAAACACCTCTGGGGTTTTAGGCGCTTTCAGTAATAGGTGATCTGAACTAAGCTTCCCATTCTGCTTTCTTGTGCACAGAAGCTTGAACTCCACATAATACCCAATCTATCACCATTTATTAAATGCTGGACTTTGTTACCTGACAGGTTCTTAGTGTTTCCTCCTGCCTTTGGAAAACATGAATTTTAGACAGTGGAGTAATATTTTTGTTCTTACAGGCCACAGACTCCTTGTCTAAAGCAAGTAGATGGGGAGCTTGGGGTACCTGGGGAAAGTCTCTCCTGTCATCAGCTTCTGCCACAGTGGGTGAGTGATCAATCAGTAAAGTACGTGGAAATAAATCGTAATTTTAATGTGTCATTAGAGACATTAATGTTGTATCTTAAAGATTCATAGACGGTTTTGTCCTGATATGTTTGGCAAGCATGATTTTTTTTAAGAGGAAGAAGGACCTTCCTAAACTGTCAAAGCATGTAAATATTTCTTCCGGTCAGATTATGGACAAGGCTTGTTTTTAAAGTTAGTGAATTACCTCATTGTGGCTTCTTCACAGAAAAGATACATGATCTGATACAATTACTATCAGGCAAAGGCTTATGGTTTTTGAAGTCAAAGCATGCCAACCCAGATTCATGCCCATGCTTGTTTGTGGTTTATACACCATGACTACACAATACGAATTCACTTCTCGTAAATCATTTCAGCTTTCATTGACACCCAGTGAAACCGTTAAGCTATAACACCAGACTTGAGAGAGTAGAGCAACATATTGAAACATGGACCCGAAACTCCCTCTCCCTCTCCTCTCATTTCCAATACTATGTCAGGACAAAATGTCCTTGTGAAGACTTGAGGTAAAACTTGATCATTACACATCAAAAACAAAAAGCGAAGCAGGCAAATACCTAGTTACCACTGGGAAGTCATTTCTCACAAATGAGCTACTATGCTGTTAACTAATCAGTTCTCATAAAGGATCCACAAAACACCTTCAAAAAATGAACCTAGGAATTAAAATTAATTGCTAGTTACTAAAAATAATGGATGCAGCAGAGATACCGGTTTTATGGTCCCATATAAGGCTAAATAATTATCTTCCTTATCCTCCTCTGTTCCATGGGCAATAAATTATTTCTGTTTCTCAGAGAAGGAGGGAACTTCCCCATCCTCTCTTTTTTTTCAGTAACACCCACACTCAAGAGTTTGTAACTACCTTTTCTTTCAGACAGTCCAACCAATTAACATATCTAATTAAACCAGAATGGGTTGCTAAAATGTCTTTAAATTGACATAAGTGAAGGTTGCTGCTGAAAGGAGCAGGCCTGCCCTGCCCCAGCGGTGTATTTCTTCTGTCTCTTACACTAACAGTAGCCTTCATTTAGTGATGTGGGCAGCTATTCTATGGGACTGATTTTGAAAAGTAGAAATGAAGAGCTGGATCTTCAGCTAGATCAGTTTGTAAATTCCCTAATCTGGCTCACCATTTGATCACTCAAATGCTACTGAATGGGAAATGACGGGAACACACAGAACATGCTGATGGTGACAAGGGCAGCTTAACTAGCTGTGGAACTACCTAAGTGTTCTCAACTTGTATTTAACCTTAAAGTTTAACACATCACTTTCAGACTTGAAGAAGGGTGTCTGTGTCGAAATTTTGCCCATTTTTCCCCACCACTATTAGTAGGTCTAATGAAGGGTACTGCTTTCAGAGACTTCCACGAGCTTTGCCTCTCTTACATTCTCAGACCATCATAACAGCAGCATTCTGAAAAGAATTTGGCTTAGCGTAAATAACTAAAGCAGAAAATTTATGTGCATAAAAGTAATTCTACTGTTGATGAGTTGGAATTGTAATGCTGATGAATTCTTCAGTTCATTTTTATAGTTGCAGCAGTGGGTTTCTTGGAACAGAGCTCTTTCAGGACATTCAGTTTTTGCCTGTGAGATAGCCATATTTATATTCTGTTTAGCTTTTGCAATAAATAGTATTCTAATGTTGTTTGTGAGTAATAAGGTTATTTGTTACCAAACAGTTACTGTTCTTGCAGGGGCAATCTCACTTACAGTCTTCTGTTGCTTAGAAATCTCGGCCTCACTGAACAATGAGCTTAGTGTCACAAAGTGTGTACACTTTCTGTGGGACAGTATGGCCATAGATATTTTCTTGCCCAACTGATGTGAGCTTGCCTGAAAATTATGAATGCTGTTGGAAAAAGTTTGGGAGACAAACAAGAATGTGTGTTGTATCCCTTCTTATTGTCTAATAAGTACATAAGACGTACCATTTTACAGCTGTTTGTTGCTTTTGTCTATAAAACCTGCTGCCAGCATTGTATCTCTGTGGATTTCCATGGACTTTTTAATGGTGTTATTCATTTTTATATAGGCCATATAACATCTTGGTTTATATACATTAAAAATTCATGCTTAATTGATACTGTCTTCTTAACACACCATCTGACTGTATCAGCATCGTAACTCTTCACAGAGTGTAAATATGCAATCAAGTTTGTTGTCTAGGCAGCCTGACTTGATAAGGTTGTGTGATATTGTCTGTTTAGAATAAGCATATATATCATCACATGTATATATATTTTTAGAATTATTATTATTTAAAATTGAGCACAGCTGGAACAGGTCAAGTTGCCTAGGCAAAGGAGCATTCATATACAGAAAAGTAAAATTAAAATTATTTTTAAATTTTCTTTTTCCATGAGAATGGTTGCACTATGTCACACTGAAGACCCATCTACTATCTAGTTTCTGGCAGTGACCAAGAGCAACTGGGAAAGAGCCTAAAGCCAGATGTATGTAAAGCAGCACTTCCCCTGTTTTGTCTTCCCGTTTCCTGGAATCTACAACTTAAGTCACACTTCCTGACCCTGGTATCAGGGTAGGGTTGAGTTCCCATATAATTATCTAATAAGTTTGGATCTAACTTTTCTCTATGAATTTATTAAATAAAATAGACTTTTAATTGAGCAGAAATCAAATGTACCTTCTTCCTTGTTCACTGAGCCCAAAGTAATTTGGAAGACCACATAGATAATCTTAGATTTGTTCCAGGAAATCAATGCAGCAGGTACTAGTTTATAATCCTGATATAGAGGGTTTATTTCCTAGTTGTTTGTTATGGAAATTCATGCTTGATCCTGTGAAGTATTTAGTCTGTCACTGTCATAGACAGAATGTGGGACTGCATGTACCATATATGTGCTTCAGTATGACAATTCCTAGCAAGAGACAGAGAGAGAAAAAAAAATTAAAGCTCTTGGGAATTTCTATAAGCTTTCTTCTTTTTATTAAATATGTATTACTCCCCTTCAAGTTACTCCGTTTAATATCTGAGCAGTTCAACCAACGCTTCATCTCCTATTCTACATCAGCAAACAGGTTTGCCATGATCCAGTCCATTTTAATGTTGCTTATTCCTTCAATGTAGCAAATGGTATAAGTAAAGCTGCTTTCTTGGAATTAGACTTATCAGCAACACCTTCAGTATGTGATTTTTCTGTTGCTCTGTCATTATCTTTGTACAACACAGCTGCTTGTCTGGTTAAGTATGAAAATATTATATTATATGACAATGTAATATTTACTATTCCTTATATTTTTCTTCAAAATTGTACTCTGTAAAAACAGCAGAAACAATTTGAGGTGGACTAGATAACATCTTAAAGGCCTAAATATATACATCAGCTTTTAACAAATAGTATCATAGAACAGCCAAGGTCGGAAGGGACTTTGAAAGATCATCTAGTCCAGGCTTTTGTGGGAAAGGGCGCCTAGGTGAGATTGTCTAGCGCCTTGTCCAGCCACATCTTGAAAACCTCCAGCAATGGGGACTTTACCACATCCCTGGGGAGGTTGTTCCAGTGAATGATCATTCTTACTGTAAAAAATTTCTTTCTTACATTCCTTCCTCTTTAAGACTGAGCTGAAATGATGTCCAAGGTTCTCAGTTTCATTATCCTTCCAACCCTGATTTAGAGCCCCCAAACAGATTAGCATTTTTACTGCATGGCTGTAAATTGTTTAGCATAGCTGATTTTAGTTTCTAATAATAAGGTAGTTTCCAAATAATTTGTATTTTACCCCTCTTTAACTAACTCTGCACACGTAGCCAGTGATTGTTTTGGCGATGGTTTTGTATAACAAAGAAAATGTCTGTTGTCTTTGAACTGATTTTAGCATTATTTGGATCAAGGTCCCTGCCACAAGGCAGAAGTGATACTCCTCTACACAACAGAATCTGTAATGCTTTTGGATTAGTAGCAGTCACTGCCTGAACCATGCTTAGAGTCTGACACTAGATGTCACACTAAGAAAGTTATTGAATCTGCCTCGTTAATGAGGTGAAGAGTTTTCTTTTGTTTTTAAAAGGTGTGAGAAGTTTGGTTTCCTTCGTTGTGGAACCACAGTGGAGTAGATGCACTGAAATAGTTGCTGGGATGATGAGATGGGAGAAGTAGGCTCAGGATCTGGAGACACAACTTGTACTTATTGTCACCATTTTACCCTCTTACTAAAAACCACAATTTAAAAGAAAATCAGCAATTACACCATCCAGTCTTTTCGTAACAGTGTTGATAAAACTCTGCTCTAACAGTGGGTTGCTATTGCAGCTGAGCCAATCTAATGGCTAGCAGCTACTGAAATGGGCAGTCCTGCACCTCTCTTCTTGCATGTTTCTTCCTTCTCCCTGTGCCAGCACTCATGCTCCTCTGAGCTCCTGGTAGTCCAGTTCAGGAGCTCCTGGTAGGCCAGTTCAGGAAGCTAAACTGACATAAGAATAACTAGAGGAAAGAAAAATCCATTTTCTGCCTCTTCAGTACCTTGAACCAACTCTGAGATAAGTGCCAGGGCAAGCAGAAGGGACAAATTTGGAACATGGAAGGAATAGAACCTCCCATATCAGCACCAAGAAGCCATTAGGTCAGCTTAGCTGTAACAGCAAACCTTTTATCCCCACGGCTTAAGTGAGGCAAAATACATTCTCAGTCTGTACTTGAAACTTGTGACTTCCGTTTTTAAAAACATGCTTGAAAGCTTGCCTGTTTTTTTTCCAACTAAGCTATCTGCTAGCTTAATGAAAGTTACTGCTTTCTCCTACAAGCCTTGCCTTTCATATTCTATATTGTTTTGTATGGATGAATGACAGTGTTTATAAGGTGCTTAAGTTGTGGTGCTTAACAAGCTGCATTTCCAAGCAAAGTCTGTTCTTGATCATGCTGTATGGATGTGCTTCACTCCATGGAAGTTTGGGGTTTTTAACCTCTAGTGCCATTGGTAAGACTAACATCTGACAATACCTCTTACACAATAAAAGTAATAAAAAATACAACCCAGCTATTTAATTTACATGGTCTCTGAAGTTCACACTTGAAGGCTGCTTAATGCACCTCTCTCATGCATTGCTTGTAATTAATATTCTGCTATCTTGATTATTTTGTGCTTGTGTATATTTCTCATCTAGTTCTTCACCTAGTAGAACAGCACACGAAAATATCAGACACCCATAGTTCTCCCTGGTACGCTGAAAACCTTTTCTTGTCACTCAGTATGACAGAATGAAATGTCACTTTTGATGTCACTGTGATGAGCTTGGATATTATTACGCATGGGTATGCGTAATAATCAGCATTGCATAGCTTAAATTGGAGTCTGTGTGGAATGGAAATGCAAATGTTTCAGATAATGTGAAACTAAAGTATTGAAATGATGTGAATATTTTTTCCATTCTCTATAGATACTATTCCCCTGTTGTGAAATAAAGAATGATATTAAAAAACGCAGAGGCTGGGTGTTATGCTTGTGCCTTATGTGGTCATAAAAAGGACAGTTAATCTCTTCAGAAGACTTTTTTTTTTTCATTGCATAAATTCAGCTGATTAGCTGATTAAGGGGAAATTGGTTTGGGGCCTGAAATCACATGGTGGTCACTCAACTGTTTCGTAAATAACACTTTACAGCTGCTGTAGCAGCAAACCCCTTTTTCACAGTTCTTCCTTTTTAAGAGTACTGAATGCAGGAGGAATTGCGGACATGCTTTGGGGGACGGCAGTCCCATTTGCTTCCTTTATGTCTTTTAAAATGGATTTATGATCTAGAAGAGGTTGAGAACCAAGAATCTGTTGTAGCAGCCTTTATGCCTATTGCTATTATTAAAACCTTTTACCATTGCAATAAGGAGATCTGAAACTAGTCTCATTTACAACTTAATTGGCGTGATTCCTGATTTACAGACTGAGTAGCATAAGTATTATCAGCATCTAGCCTGTGTTTTTGTTATAATTACAAGGAAGAGTATTTTTCTAAAGCCTTGAAGTGTATGGAGTGCCAATAGGATAGCCTCAAAGTGAGCACAATGGGGTCCCACTTTTTTAGTTTACAAAACCAGAGCACAGCTGGCTTTTCCACATATCTATACTTCATATAGTGGAGTGATTCCCCCCCAGCCATCTTCAGGTTCCTCAGTTTCTCAGTCAGTGCCAGAAGCTAATTTAAGGCCTCGATCTTCATCTTTAGCTTGAACCAGATGAAGCTTCATTCATCTTACTAGACTAAATTTGATCAGTTGTTCATCAGAAATGCTCCCACAGTGCAACACAAGTGACAAAGACTGCGTAGTAGCCAGGGACAGAATCTCGAACTCTTCCTCCCCATCTGTACCACTGAAGCAGGGTGTCCAGTTGCCTGGGAGTACTAGATTGACAAGGGACAGCGATTCCTACAGAGAATGATTTAGATTTCAGACATGCTGAACTGCCCTCGGGAGGTGTCTGTTGGCCTCTTTCAGCTCTGCAGGGAATCCAAGGCTACTATGCTGGGAGGTGGAAGATAAAGAGAGCCTCAAGTGAAGAGGGATGTATCTGACTAAAGCATTTGTGAGCACTGTAACCTGGCCTTGGGCAGATCAGGCAAACTCAAAGGCAGGCCACATTTTTAGGCACTGCTTGCAAAACCTTCCTTTTCAAATGGAATAGTCCAGCTAGCAAGGTGAACAACAATATTCTTCTGAAACTGCCAGCCAATAGAAAGAGAATTCCTGTAGGCAAGAAAAATAAAATCAACAACATAGGGAAAAAAGCATGCTCTTCAAAAAGCATGCAGTGAACAATACCCATTGCGTAGCTCTTCTGTCTCTGCTGTTACAGATGAGTAGATGGAGGTGTTGGAGGTGTTCCAAAGTTTACAATATCAGCTCAGTTGCGTTACCACACCCAGTGTAACAAAACCAGTGCACCTTTATCTCTAAAATGTAGGCTCATCTCCCATAAACTCTTTTATTTCTGTGCCTTTTGAAATTACAAATAATCATTTTCATTTACAGAGCAACATGCACATCTGCTGTGTTTGTGCTGACTTGCTTCAGTTGTGGTCTTCTGATCTAATCTGGTTTTGTTGTTGTAGTCAAACATACGTGCCATACAGCTTAGTTCAGCAAAACCACTCCTAGCTAACCTGAAATATTTTCTTCTCATTCTAGTGCATGTAACCGCAGCCCTGAAAATGCTGCCTTTTCTAAGTCTGTAAATATCAGTACAGCAACTGTGTGCCTCCTTTTCTTGGAAGTATAAGCTTGTCTGCAAAACTATGAGAACAAAATTACAGAATATTAAAAAAATTTAAACATGTTTAGATACAGAAGAAAACTGGGAAATTAATCTGAAAATCCATAACTTCCGCACACAGCTAAAAGGTAGTTAATTTTTTATATAATTACAGGACAATAATAGTTTGTTAGCAAGTCAAGTCCTTAAGAAAAAGTAAGTCAATGGAGAGAATAGAACTCTTTTGGTCATTTAAAAAGTTGTGAGCAGGAGAAAGGGAAAGGAATGTGACGTGGAATATCTATTACATTAGTTTAAAAGCACAATTAATAGTTATTTAAGTGAGTCCCAGGAATTTGGAGAGTAAATTACTGCAGAATCTATTCATGCTAATATTTTCATTGAACCAATTAAAATGTGCAGGAGATGGAGATTAGACAAAGTAGTACCCCCCTCTCCAGTATCTGCATTGGAGCAGGTGTTGTAAAAGGCAGGAAGTTACCCAGCAATGACTTAAATCACTGTGGTGCATAACTTGGTATCTCATGTACAGTTGGATGTACTGCTACATTTTGTAAGACATGAGATAAAATAGACAAAGGCCATATTTTCTTTAGACAGGTAAAAGCATTGACCTGCCTCGTTTCTCTGTTTCAGTGTAAAACATCAGGACACCATGCAGCTTATGCTGTCATATAAAAAATTACTTGTTTCTGCTCATCTGTTCCTTAGGGGACAACTGTTCTTTGTGTTTACCTCCAGATACTCCAGTTTTCTTCTATGTGATCTTTCAGTAGTTTCAGTAGTTCAGTAGCTGCTTCACATGTTTTCTAGAGTATATTTATTATTGAATTCATAGAGCACCTGATGTGTAACCCATTTGGAAATCATAGAATCATAAATCTAAGCTTTCCTTCTTCCTACTCCATTTCACATAGTTTTGCTGCATCTCTCTTTAATCAGATGTTCAATATCATATTTATATGACTACACACACACATATATGTGTAGGTGTATGTTTGTTCAGAACACTGTAGAGCACTGGCAAATGATAGGCTATTTTGCTGTAATTAATATAACTAAGAAAAGATGCTTTGAACTTTTCTAATAGGAAGTGCATACAGCTGCGGGAAAGTATAGACAACATTTAATGAGTTTGTGCCTTAGATGTCTAGGTATCTGCCTGAGCATCTGTATTAATGCCTTTTCTGAAGTCATTTATCTATTTTACAGTTCAGTGTAAGGTAAGAAAGCAAAGAAGTATAAAATTGTAATTAATACTTCTCATAAGTAGTTAGATAGTTAAGGCACTCTGTATTGTCCTACTGCTAGAAGTGATCAGCTTTACGTGAGATGCAGTAATGGTGTACTGTGCAAGAAAAAATCCAATAGGGTCACTGAAGCCATTTCATTTTGTGTTGGAAAGAAATACTGCTCGCCTGGTTGGTTGTTTACTTATTGTGTCTCAGCTGATGTGCAGAAACTTCCAGCTAAGGAAGATGTGCTAGCTGGATCATTTGTAATGAGAGAAGCATATCATGAACATATTTGTGGATATATCCAGAAGCAGAATAGGCAGACAATTTGAGGGCAGTCTTTTTTAAGGGCAGCGTTTTTCAACTACAGCTGGTGCAGATTAGGAAGCTATTGCCTCCTTTTGCTGGCTACCAGGCAATCCCACCCTATCCTATAGTGGGATATTACCAGTCCATGTGATCTGCTAGTGTAAAGTCTGTAGAAAAGCAGCAAAGCAATCCCGTTCTGTCAAAATCATTCAGATAAAAACACTAATAACATATATTCCTTACATTAAATGAGACCATTTTAATAGAACAGAGAGTTAGGGAGTCACTATGTATGCATCAGGTAAGGGTGGTAAAATCTCTGTAGGAGATCAGCTGTCACTGGAACAATAATTCTGTCTGTGTCATCTGACACCAACAGACTTTACGAAGTATATTTAAATAGCAGCTTTGAGGAGAGACACTTTAGAATTTGACTTCAAATGAGCAACTGGGGAGCTTAAATCCTGAAATAACTTTGAGGACCTGGGTCAATATTCGTAAAATACTTACCTAACATAGCACCTATGCAGCAGACTGAAGAACAGATTCCTTGCCTCAGCCCTGCAGTCACCCACAGTCCATTAATTGTGGGTTAATTGTTCTAGACTTCTGAAAACTAGATGAGGCCAAAACCTATGGCATTAGGAGGACCATCAATTTCTGTTTAAGCTGTTTGTAATAGAATATTTAGCATTTTGAAAAGCAGGGAGCTAAGCTTAATGCGTGCCACTGAAACAAGTTTTACATTTCAGATCCAGTGTCATTTGTATTATATTTCAGCTTTATCATTTCTAGTCAGTTAATATACTGGATATAGTAGAGCAAGTGAATTATTAACCTAAAAAAAATTAAGCTATTGAGGTAAGCTTAATAGTTATTCTGATTGTCATCATTCATGGAGTATAAGAATACTCTGCACTGTTAGTAATAAGTTTTCAAATCATATAATCTAAAATATGCTTCTGCTGCAGGTCATGGGATAACGGCAGTAAAGGAAAAAGCAGGAACTACCCTAGGAATTCATAATGCAAGTTCAGCATCTTCAGAAATGGCAGAGCCTCCTGCAGCTGAAACACCAGTTATACGTAAGTTCAAGTTCACTGAAATTGAACAAAACTCTTTGACACTGCCAAATTAGTCCAATTTACAAAATTTTAGGATTTTGATCGCAGAATCCAGTTTACTGTAATTTGTGACTTGTAGAGTTGAAAGTATGCTACAGCTTGCTCTTTTCTTTTGTTAGATGCAGAAGATTCTCTAGACCAAAGCTCTTCTGAGAATATTCCTTCTTCTCCTTCATCTGGATCTCGTGGCATGTTGTCAGCTATCACTAATGCTGTACAGAACACAGTGAGTCGTTTTAGCTGGCCTCTCTGCTCTAGTTATTCATCATCATTTTTAGGTGCAACTTTACTGTACGTCATATTTGTTAAGTTGTAGGTCTTTGTAAAAACAGTTCTGTTGTAAGTCTGTTTAGAGTCTCTTCCATGGCAAAATAACTGTATCAAATTAATAAAAAAAAAAAAGTCAAACACAACTAAGTCAGTTACTGCTTTGGCACCATTTTCAGTGAAAAATATGGTCTTCTAAAGTGTATAGAATTCTGCAAATTCTTAGGAAATCTTCTTTACAGTTGCGGTACCATAATCTAATTTTTTTTACAGTTAAGTCCTTCCAGAGAAAGTATGATAAGATTTGTTATCATTTTTGAAGGCAGATAAAATAAGAAAATACTTCATTTGCTTATTTTAAAGCTTTTACTAAACTCTGTATTGTTAGTCGCTGGCCCTTACCTTCACCTCTATCTAGTCTCTCATTTCATATTAGCCTTCCCAGAAGGGGGTCTTACTGCAGACTCAGTGAGGCAAAATCTTTTGTCCATGGTTCTTTCCTATTACACTCTCCATATATTTTCTGTGCGTTGCACTTCATCCTTTTCTGGTTTTCTGTGTTTCAGCTTTTGCAAAATCCTCTACCATACTGTTTCCAAATCAATTTCTGTGTCATCTTCTTCCCCAACATTGTTTACACACTATTATCATAGCAAATGTTTTCCTCTGAGCTTTTCAGTATAGTGTTTCCCTTGAAATTGTAAGAGAGTTTAAGCATCAGCTAAAAAATCATAGAAGACTAACTCACCATTGAGCATGTTTTACAAAGTGGCAATTCTTTTTTAGTGCATATCCAGTTCACCCTGAGTGCCTCATCACTCTTAATATCAAAAGATTTTGGGAGCAGAGGGCGATTCCTATAGATTATTGCTAAGACTGTTGCTACAGAATCTGGAGCATCATAAGGCTTGTGAGAGCTGGACACTAGTAAGATTACCTGAGCATTGTATAAGATTTGCAGATAAGAGAAATGTGCTCTTATGCAAACCTAGAGAAGCTACTATATCACAGTGATGAATGTCACCAAACAAAAAGAATAACTTAAGCTCTCAGTAAGTTGCCAGTAATGCCATTTGAGACTTTGGTAGGGTTTTCCATTATATATCAGGTTACATCATTATACATCAGGTTACAGCATTTGAGTATCTGACAGATGCATAATCCAGATTGAAATGGAAATCTTTAGCCAGTGAAAATCATTCTTCGGAGTACATGAAATTTTGTGAGTGAGGGCAAATGTTAATATGCAGGCACAGGAAAAACAACAGTATTTTGATAGACAGTTCCAGAGTCATCACAAGTGTCAAAATTTTAGAAATCAGTTAGGTAAGGCAGGGTCATCCTGTTCATGATGGACTTTGGCTCCATATTATTTGTATCTAAAATATGTTCCCATGGACTAGATGCCACTTTGGATGAAATTAAAGTGGTATTATTCATAATTTTTTTATTGGCAACAGGTGTTACATTTCCTCCAGTGTGAGTCTTTTAATTAACTAGAAAGATTTATATAGTCAATTGATTTTATTTTCGAAAATGTATTTAGAACAAAGTAACATAATTTTATAAATGTATCAATCCTGTTGTTAGTTAAAGCATAGAAAATCTAGGGACCTGAATGTTCAAAGTCGGTGTCAGCAAAAGCAATACTCTTTACAGTTCATATTAGCATAAAGTGGAAAGAAAATAACCACATTGCGTTGTTTTATACAGGGGAAAAGTGTATTATCTGGAGGCTTAGATGCTTTGGAATTCATTGGGAAGACAACCATGAATGTCCTTGCAGAAAGCGATCCTGGATTTAAGAGAACCAAAACACTAATGGCAAGAACAGTTTCTCTGTCTCAGGTTGGATTTATTTCAATACAGCTCTGTCAATGCAGTTTCAGATTCTTCTTCCAGAATTTCACATGCCTCAGGGAGAGGCTTTATTTATTGCAGTAGATATTGGCTAAGCTTATGGAAATAAATATTATGCTTTATATTTGCTCCACTTTATTTTTCTTCACAGAACCACAAAAGATAATGTAAAATCATCTTTTCTGCATAATCACATGTGCAATAGCTGATTTTGGTAAGATAGTATATGTGGTGATAAATCATTACACTCTGGAGACAGAATCAAATTGTTGGTGTTTTTGTAACAGCTGTAGATAGATATCTTCCAGCATAAACATCACTGTACTACTTTCCTTGGAAATTAGTAATACTGGAATACGACATATGTTTCATTAGGAATTAAAGCTGTGAAGTGTTCTATCTTAATGTCCATCTAAACTAGTGGTACCCTTACACAGTTGTGACTCATGTTTAAAAGTTCAGACATGATAAAAACAGAAGTATAAGAGCTGTCAGTACAAAATTATTTTAGCTGTCCAGACACTGAGAGGAGGGAGGCTGTGGAAATCAATAGACATTGAAAACAACTTTTAATTTTGCTGGATGTTTACTTCCATGTAGAGAGAAGTAAGGTATTTTTCTTTTAATGAGATGTTTCATCTTTAGTGTTTGTCATTGTAAGTGTGAATGGACTGATACTGTTGTAGTAGGCCAAAAGCAAGTAACTCTTGTTAAGGTCCACAGGGTTAAAATGAGCTTTTGAGAATACCTTCCTAAACAATATGCATGAATTCACACATAAAATCTGAGGCAGAAAGTGACATAAATCAGTTCTCAGGGGTCATATAACAGTGCTTCCTTTTCAGTGATTTGTACATAAACTTTGTGAGTGATCTTTTGAAGGTGGAGACTGAAAAATCTACCATCATAAGTGTTTTGTAACAAATGAATAACTGAAGAGAATTTCGTAGAAATTTTGAATGATGCAATAGTGTAAGTGGTGAGAGTTCACCTATATTCAGAGGCTTATATGTGACTTCAGATGCACTTCAGCTGTATTTACCAGCTTTACTGTAGCCAATTCATATGAGAGGCCATTCCTTCCGGGGAATAGAAGGAAGGAATAGAAGATGCTATTCTATACACTATTCTAGCCTTCTTATACACTAATAGAAGTGTATAAGAAGATCACTCCAAAATATACCCAAGTATACGGACTGTAGTTCTGCCCCACCTTTGGTAGAAGTCAAACCTTATTAGACCAATCTCTTTTGTCAGTCCTGCTGTCACATAAAACTGACTTCAGTGTCTGCTAAAAATATTTCACAGGAAATATTTATGTAGGTGCAATATTTATGCAAGTAGGTAGGTAGGTCCTGGAAATAATATTCTTCCTATTTTGTGGTCTGTGGAATGGATTGCATGACTCTTCAGGGCTGTGTATGTAATAGTCCTTCTTATTTTTCTTTCATTGTAATTGGTGGCTAAATTTATTATACAGTATCCATAGCTGACATTGCTTTTGAGAACATAAGCAAGATTATTTGTTTGTTCATTGTATTTTAAAAAAAGATGGTTAGCAATTACCTTGGGAAAACAACGCTTAGAATACTACTTAAATATTTTATTAGCAAAGTTTATAAAAAAAGAAGTTAGATATTTCAGCTCTAAAATTTCAGCTCTGCAAGTGTGATAGTCCCAAATTTTATTACCACTTCCTAGACAAGCAGAAGCAGAAAGTAATAAAATCTGTCATACCAACAGCATTACCAATAAAACAACAGGAATAATGTATATTTTTGCAGCTGTTGCGAGAAGCTAAAGAAAAAGAGAAACAGAGGCGGGCCCAGCAAGTTACAGTTGAAAGAACAGCACATTATGGACTACTTTTTGATGAATTCCAAGGTTTGTCTCATCTTGAAGCTCTGGAAATCCTTTCAAATGAAAGTGAAGCTCAGGTACAGTATGCAGACAGCATAAATCAAAATGGTTGGTAAAAAATTGATCTTTACATTAATTTCACTCTGCAGGTGCATGTGAAATGAACAGTAAGTTTTCCATCAACTTCAGAGAAAGCTGGATAGGTCCCATGGGCCAGTCCTTGGCTTCAGGAAATCAATCTCAATACACCTAAAATTTAATTCCAAGATTAATGCAAAACAAACAACTTCAGAACTGAAAGTTATTTTTGTTAGGACTGTATATAGTGTGTATTTTTCAGCTTGTGACACTATGCAGATGTCTTTTCAGAATTTGCAAGGAGGTTGAAGTCTTCTGGTTTTGTATCAGGCACTGACACTTACATTCAGGTATTCCAGACCTACTACACCTGGAGGCTAGTGATTTAAAATTAATCCCAGATTACTTATTCAATTTCTAAGCCTTCTTTATTGTGTAGTTTTAAAGTTACATAAAACTGCTCCAGGATATTATTACTGGAAGTATACAAATGTCTCTCTGAAGAATATGCTAATGTTACTAAGGCTTATTTGATAAATATATTTTTTAATTTCAGCTGTCAATTTATTGACTCTACTAGTAGATCAGTAGATCTCTGACAGTAGATCAATGGAATTTTGTAGACTCCTAGGAGTGGTATTTTATACTGAAACAGTTTCCTGAATAAATTTCTTAAAATACAAGTTTTCTTCTTTTTTGTTTTTCTAATTAGCACTCCTTGCCCTCTGGATTATTTTTAATAAAAAATAACCAACTTATTTTTTAAAATGTCTTATTTGCTTTCACAAGTAAAAGAAGCTTATGTTAATAACAGCTAGGTACATACTGTCCATGTTGTTTTTATTTTTTGCAATTATGTCTAAATGAAAAATTATAAATTCAAAACCCACATGTAAGGTTCAAGGGCCTGCTTTTGGAAAAAAAAAACCCAAAAAACCCCCAGAATACCCACAAAACAGGAAAGAGGTAAATAGAAAATAAGTTCAGGTTAATTGCATGTGTCAATACTATTTTTCTTTTACTGTGAAATACCACAGGGTAAATAAGACTTGTGCAAGTTGTTACCATAAAGTTTCTGATGTGCTTCATGCTATGTCCTAGATAACCCCTTGTTCATAGTCCTACTCACTCCAACAGGATTGAATGCGTCTGTCTGGGTCAACAAGTGCAATTCTCTCATAATTACCATACTCATGCCCACAAAATACTTACAGTACTGTAAGTTTGAGACATATACTAACAGCCCAAAAGCCACAGCAGGAGCACAAGAGAGACTGAAGGCATTGCTAATGTCCAATGTGCTTCTAATAGCAGGGATTTAAAAATATTTTTAAGCTTTTATTTTAAAAGTTTCCATTAAAAAAAGTTCCCAGTTAATCCTATGAAATGGATAATGCTATAGAGAGGGACAAAAAAGCCCTAGGTAGTCCTTCACAACCTGCGTTAGGTCTCCCAACTTTATCTTGCATTTAACCCTGAACATATGAGCTGGACACATGAAGGAGGAACATAAGAAAATAACATTTTTCTCCAGTCTCTCACTGAGCCAGCCTGCATGTCTGCCAAGCAAGCTTAGAAAAAACCCTTGAAACAAACATAAAAGTAAAATTTTGTAACAAAGGGAGAGAAGGCATTTCTCTTGGCTTCCATAAGCAGAGAGTGTGATCATGGGTTTAACACTATGTAACTGTAGTGCAAACAAACAGTGATGCAAAGAATCTGTTTCCATCCCTCTTAGGCATGCCAACCTGTTAGATATGCAGGGACTTGTCAATACATTCTTCAGAACAGGTAGACTGGTAGACTGTCAATACTTTTGGTTGCATTTTGGAAGAGGAGAAACAGGCTTCTTTTTCCAACTCTTCCTGTGAGTGCTGAGACTAACCATAAATTCTGCCTGTGCTTTTTCTGCCTGCTGTCTTCATCCAAGCAATCCCAAAATGCTTCTTACAGTTTGCAGTTAAACCATCAATTTATAATTCAAAACTAATGTTCTGGGAGAAGGTAGAGACCTGACGATCTTGCAAGGCTGGTGTAATTTTTGTGATACTCAACAAATTTTTGTTGATGAGAACCAAAAATGTGTCTACGTTGGAAGGTTAGAGCCAAGATTTGAGCAAAATGGAAGTTTCCATTTCTTAGCCTATTTTGGTATCAGGCTCTAAAGTAGCATTTAAGAAATGCTCTGTTTTGGTTAGGAATGCTTACTGTCCTTTCTTTTACAGATTCAGTCATATTTAGCAGCACTTGATGGAGACCAGCTGGAGGGTGTGAAAAAGGATTTAATTGCTATAAAAGAGATTTTTGTTCCAAAGGAGTCGGATGACGAAGTGGTGCAGGCACAGAAAGGTAATTAGAAACACAGAGACTTAACCATATGAATAATTGTTACTTCTGTATATACTAATTTCAAAAATTACAATCCAAACTATAATTTCTGATATCCTAATACTCTTCATAAGGTAGTCACTAAAATTAATACTCCAAAAGTTCTGGAAGCTGATCAATGCTTAATTTTGAATTTATATTGTAATTGAAGTATAAGATATAGAAAAGATAATGTAAGGAAGTATTATATTACTTTGCTATATCATCAGTGAAAGTAAAACAAAAATAAGAAGGGAAAATAATAACCTTTTGGATAACTCAGGTTTCCTTACACAATCTGCTTATGAAATTGTGTAATCTGAAAGTTTTGGAGTGTTTAGCAATGCTTTTCTGTTTAGCAACTTCATCCTCACTTTGCACCCTCCCTTGCTAGATAGGGAAAAGATCAGAGCGTAATGAAGAGACTTAAGAACCCTGAACTTTTTGAAGGAAAGTCACTTTGAAACATAGCAGCAAAGCTGCTTTCTAGGTATTGCTTGGCAAGACATGGCATGTGGAGTGTGAGATAGAAGTTATAGCAGCAGAAGCATGCCGTAACTATGACATAGTGCACAGCATTGAAGAGAATGGGACCAGCATGACAGGCCATAGATCAGCTCACAAAAGTTACAGTAAAATGGGTGAGTGCTTTGTTTAGGGGCAAAATAGGTGTCTTAGATCAGGAATTTTGGCATTCCCCAGAACAGGCTGAGAACAGAAGGATACAAAGTTAGCTTAAAGCCACCATAGTTTATGCCTCTAGGCCTGTGAGGTCCATACCAAACCTCTTCTAGCTAATAGAAACAATCCCCTTGACCTGACTGAAGACTGGCTTATGCCATTGAACATCATATTGCTGTGTTTCAGAAACACAGAATCATAAAAAGATATTTCTTCCATGTCATCTTGATCTTCTCAGGGGTGCTTTGCCCATAAAACCTACATTTTGCAAGGTGGTGAGCTATGATTTCTCTAGCCTTCAGAAAAGTTAGAAAAACTGTTAACATCCACATGTTCTACTGGAAAGTCTTTTCTGCTCAGACTGCTCTTTCTAGCAGTGCTTGCTCAGTATGCCTGATGTCTCTCACAGGGAGCTTACTCTTTCTTCTCGGGGGGGATAGCGAGTGTTCAGCGTAAAGTCTTAGTATGGTAGAGTTTTGTGATGGTTTTTTTTCCCTTGTTACTCTTTAAAACCCCACATTCCTCTGTGGGATTGTGAGAAATAGAAGTCAAGAAAGTGTATTACCTGCTTAATAGCAAGGATTCATGAGCTGTCTGTTATTCCTTAATTTCTGTGGGAAATAGTTCCTTGCTTTGAAACTAGCCCCCAGGAAGAGCACAAAGTGATGTTTTCTCTGGTAGTCAGAAGTTCTGTTTTTTCAGCGAAGCACAGCTGCTGATCATGCTCCTTGAAACATTCGCTGGCTTTTTAAATAGGCTGGGACCAAGGAAATGAGCACCTTAAAAAACCCAAAAAGACCAAATCAGTGTGCTGCAGGTTTCCCCCTGCAAAAGCAAACCAGTCAGCAGTGAAACATATCCTCCTCTCTGACAGCGGAAATAATAACCACACGTATTCTCTCCACCTTACAGCTGAATGGGTGTTACTTCAGGCTGCAGTTCAAAATGACTCACATCCTTTAGTGCAAGCAGGCTCAAGATTTATTAGTACTTGAACTAAAGATCAATTTCATTTATTAGTATTAAGTTGGATAAATTTTAATTCCACTGGAGGATACAAAAAGAATAGAAAGGTTAATCACTTTTCAAAGTAGCTGTTAGGGCTGAGCCTACAATTCTGTGGTCAGGCTCCTAACCTGGCCTTTACTTCTTTCTTCAGCCTGTCACCCATAATCCGCAGTACATGCAACACTGCATTGATAGTGCTCTTAACACTGGATAGTGCTTTGACATGTCCCTTCTAGACAGTGTCCTAGTCTGGGTACCTTTCCCAGTCACAAAAATGCGTTATCTTCATTAAAATCTTGTTGGAGTGAATGAAGGCTTCTTACGATCCTCCTGAGTCAGGGAAGACAGATGTTTTGGTGAATTTCTTAATGCATAGAATCTTAAGGGGTTTTATTAAGTGCATTTATGCAGCAAATGCATAAAACCTTGTAAAACTTAAAGAATTGCATTAATAGGCCTTTACATGACAATTGTCTGCCATATTTAGATAAAAACAATATCCAGCACCTTTCCCTGTAGTGTTCTATGTGATTTGCACATCCTTTTCCCCTCATGGAGCACAGTTCTTTTGAACAGTTTAATGTTTTATTGATACTTTAGTTTGCCAATCTTTACATAATTTAAGTTGGATTCCAGTGACTTGCTATTGACTATGCTTAGTATTCTGGTCATATTTTCTGGGGGGCATCGATATGTATCCTTCTGGGAGCACACTTGATCTTTTAGGGTCTAGGTTTGAATTGTTTGGGATTTGTTGTTTTTTTTTTTAAACTGGAATTGTTTACCTGAAATGACTTGTTGGGACCTTAAGCATCTTTCTGTGGCATAATTAATAATTACGTATAGATAAAAGACAGTAAAATTTAACAACAGGTTTGCTGATCGGGCTTAAATGCAGCTCATGTCTTGCTGTGAAGAGAAGGCTTCCTTCTAGTTTGTGTTCTTAGCTCAAGCCAGTTAATACAATTAACCTTCTGATAAGCACATTAATAGGTTTTACACTTATAAAATCAAGTCAGTGAGCCATATGCTCTTCTAATAGTGTATTTTTTGTAAAGAATTACATATTTTTACTTAAGTTAGCTATCTAGCAAGAGGTAGCAGGCTATGTTAAATTCTGTGGAAGAATTTTGAGTTCTAATCCTGCTTGCTAAACAGTTTAAAACTACACCTAACTTGCCTTCCATAGGATTTTGATTTGTGCTTCCCAGCTCAATAAAACTTGTGGTTTCTTCCTAAGGAAGCCACCCCCCTACAAAAGACAGAGATTAACTAATGGTATTTGAAAATGTTAAATCTTATCAAGCCACTGAGCAGTATTTGAAAACAAGTTAATTACCACTTACTGCTAATTTGTTACCACTTTCTCATCATCAAAATCATCTTATTTATACGGTGTCATTTGTCAGTGCTATATATACTCAGCAAAAAAAAGACTAATTGGGAGGAAAACCAGTACTTTGCATTCGAGTGTTTGAAAAGAGTGGCCAGCCGTTTGTTTTATGTAAACTCTCAGGATCCTGTCTTACCCAAGACTCTCAGGATCTCATTCAGATGTGTTAGTGCTGCTTTTAGTTTCTACCGTAAACATTTTCCATCCTACACAAGGAGAAATTACTGCGATGATCTTTGGAGGACTGTTTTGGGAAAGGATTTGGGCTAGGCTTTGTTCTTGGCAACTTTGAAACTGGAATAGTTTTTTTGTGTCTTTTCTTAACAGTCAGATAGGTGCAAAATCAATATGAAAAGAAAGAAAAGGAAAAGATATTTTCTTACACAAGTAGGAGAAAGCCAAATGCATACCCTTCTCTAATGTTTCCTCTTACTTTGATTATGCAGTCCTTTCATGTATTTTTCACTGCAGCTTCTTTTCCTTTCAGTTGTTTATGAAATAATGAGAGGAGAATATCTTAAAGAGTAGCTTTACCTACATTTTGAAAGGCATTAACACCAAAAAATTCATATGTGAGGTTAAGGGAGACAGTAACCAAAGTGAGTATTGAATTGAATATGCCAGTTATCAACAATTTTGGTAATTTTGCTTTGATCCAGTGAACTGCTTATCAGTTTTCAGCAGTTCATAAAACAATTTGGCATCATTTTAAGAACAAGTGAATTCAGGGTATCCAAGAGGTGCTGTATTGCAAAACCTGAAAATCCTATTGCCAAAATTTACTGATAAGGGCAGCAATTAAATTAACTCTGTGCATCTCTTTGGCCTGCCAGAATACAATCTTCTTGAGTTGTTCCCCTGCTGTTAAGAGCAAAGCTCAGTCTCTTGGTCATTGTGGGTGAAGAGTTCTTCGTGCTAAATACTAATTTATTTTATAGCACCAAAGATGGGCACTATCTTTACAAGCAATGGTTAGATGTCCTTTGCTCTAGGAAAGTATAATCCGAGTGTCAGATTCCACCACCTTTGCACATGTTGCAAGGTACTGTAGACTGTAAACAGTTCTATCAAAATCCCCAAAGTCATTGGAGAGTAATGTCCCTCAGCTTTTAAGCCCAGTATTAAAGATTTGCATAAAATAGAAAAACTGGCCCTAGCTAATAAATTAATAAAAAGAGTGGGAATACAGCAAGACAAGAAATTCATTTTTGAAGTAGCTGGACTTTTATCAGGCTCAGTATGGAGAATTTGTCATTTTAGTGTCATCAGGCTAAAAAAAATGGATTTTGTATATTCCACCAGGAAGCGTTAATGAAGATTCCAAACTCAGTAAGTGCAGATGAACAGAACCAACCAAAATACCAACTTTTAGGAACTTAGAGCATGTTAGAATATGGCAACTGCAAGTAGTCAAAGGAATATATATAATAAAAATGAAGTTCAAATACTAGTGATACTTATCTTTGCTCATTAATCCTGTGAAATGGAAGTGCAGATTCTTTAAGGCTCATTACTCCAAAGCAGAACAGAAAACATCCTTCATTTAAGCAAAGCTCAGTCTTCAAATAGAAAGAAAACACACCTCTTAGCTGTGGTTTGCAGACAGAGCAAGAGAGAACATTTGCCAGTAATTTTCCTCTGAAACTTATTTGTATCTGGCCCTGCTGCAGTTTTTATTCTTTAGTTTGAAAGAATAGGTTAGTATCTCTTCTTTGGTTATTTTGTGGGTCTTGTATTTTTGTCAGATAACTAGGGATCGTGCAACTTCTTCTCCTCTTACCTGTTTTTGTGAAACTTAGTGGAATTTAGAATGGGGCGGAGAGAGTAGTTGGAAGTGTCTGGCTAGCATATCTGGTTGTACAGGTATCTCTGTTGCTTGTTCTCGTCTTTATTTGAGCATATACACGCACACACCCACACACCCCTTTCTTGTATCACTGTCACTGTTTTTCAAGTGCTAGAGTTCTTGGGGAAACTATTTGATTGGATGTATTTGACTGTGTAAAATATTATAGTGAAAACCCTAATAAAAAATTGTCTTGTTTTTTCTTGCAGCAGATATGGGAGAAGAGTTTGTCAGCATGCTTACCGAACTGCTGTTTGAATTGCACGTTGCTGCTACTCCTGACAAACTTAACAAGGTTAGCACCTGTTGGTGAGGTGCTCTCTGTTTATTGGACAAAGAGGGAGGGCTTTGTTCTGAAATCTGACACAGAGCAGTACCTAGCTCGGTTCAGACAGTTCAGAAAGCAAAGTACAGGAGGGCGGGAGTAAAAGGATAAATACAGAATAGCTTTCTTAGAAGAAGTGAGATTAGTAAGTCAATACAGTTGCAATGACTGGCTCGCACAATGGGCCATGTTAGAAAGCCTTGAACCAGGGATGTCTCAGCAGAACAGAGTTCACGAGCACAGTAGATTTGGTCTTACGTGCTGGGAACAAAGGTCAGGTTCAGAATTATTTTTCTTGCTCATCATGTTTATTCTTCTGAGGGACTTCTCCAGACCTTCTTAGCAAAGTTTTGGATTTATCTCATCTAGCTTCAATCATCTAAAAGTTAGATGGCTAGAAGCTAGTCACATCACTAGTCACATTTGTACCGTCAGGCCCCTTTAAAGGTGATTCACCTGTTGATCTTCGGCTCACATGAATGTTTATCTCTAGCTACAAAGATAGACTATGGATAAGTAGCTTAGGCTTAGGTCTTAACATATTTTAATTTGACTTCATGTTAAAAAAGAGACATCATAAGTTTCCTACTAACCATAACAGTAGTCTGAAGTTGTATAAAACTTCAAGGCTTTTCCACTTTTGACCTACTTTCATGCCTGGGAAGGCAGCTGAAGATACAGTGATTTTCTATTTATTTTTCCTTTAAGAATTTAGTACATCTCTTTTACCTCTCCCATATTTTTTTTTATTTTTTTAATACCACCTTCTTATCTTTTTTATTTAGGAAAATTATTTCTGTGTAAATTCTTTTGGAAGGTACTTCATAAAGCTGAAATATTAGTAACTTTGGTATTAATGTCAACTCTCTGTGTTGGTTAGGAATATCATACCTGTAGAGGAATTATCCCTGGCTGATCCATCTTTATGCAGTCAGAAATGCTTTTCCCTACAGTTTCTTAAATACACACTTGACTAAATGCCATGCAGAAGCTTGATATGTTTAAACTTCTGAATGTAAAAGGGAAGTAATTAAATGTATTGTTAATTACTGTTCAGGAACATCATTTGATATTCCCTTTTTGACCTGAACTTTGGGGTTGGGTTCTTTCTTTGACAGGCTAGGAAAAAAGCTCATGAATGGCTGGAAAAAGCCAGTTTTTCCACCCCAGTAGACATAGAAGAGAAGCTAAAAGAAAAACCTGGAGAACCTGGTGAAGAAAAGACTGAAAAAGAAGATAAAATTGACAGTGATAAAACAGAAGTAGATAAAAACAAAACTGTGGAGGTAAGATAGCTTTTCGAGGACAAGTTTCATTAAACAAGTTGTCATACTTTGATAAGATTACTTCTTTATCTTTGTGTGTTGGTTTTATATGTTGTCCTTATTTTTTAAACTCATGGAAGTATTAAGAAGTATTACCGTATAACTATTCACTGTAGACCCAATAGGAAACTAACTTACATAAATATTTTTACTGTTAGTCTGTTCCCAGAAGTAAATATCAAAGTAGTAGGTCCTCTGCCTATCACATTGTTTTTATTTTTCTATATCTATGTTTTTGTGTGTTGCATTACACAACATACAGTGAGCTGAGGGATTCTGTGGTGTAATGTCGATAGCACATTGAAAGTCATATCTCAGCATTCCTTGGCATCTCTTTCTCCCAGTGACAATACATGGAAAAAATTCTCGAACTTTACTTAAACTCTTAAACTGTATAAATCACAAACAGACAAAACAGAAATATTATTTAGGCAACTCCCAAGTGTTCACTCCCTTTATGAAAGATAGCTCTTAAGGCTAAAAGTATTGTGTCTGTTTAGACAACCCTTCTTGTTGATAAGGTTAATTGTGATTGAATGTTTTATGCCAAGTTATAACAATATTAAATGTTGTTGGTATCTTTGTCAAGACTTTTTGAATGAATTCTAATAAAGAAATTATCTGTCGCGTTTCCTTACAAAAAAGCTCCAAAGAAGGAGACAGAGTTGCACGGTATATATTACAGATTTTTATGCGATTGCAGATTTTCAGCTGGCATCAGCTTGTGAAAGCTGTAATGCCATAGTGCTAGACAGAGTTTTTTATCATTGCTGATAAAAGCCACTTTTTTATTCTGGAGATTCCTCTGAGGGATGACAATACTTTTGGCTCCATATGAAAGTAATTATGACTTCTTCTAGAGTTAAGGGATCTTTGTATTTGTTAGGACTAGGTTTAAAAGTGCTATGTTAGGAAATCTGAGAGCCTGACCTAGTTCCCATCCAAATAAATGGTAGACTTGTTCTTACTAATTTTTCAGGATAAGTATAAGGTCTGTATTTTATAATCTGTGGATATTTCATTTTCCAGTATTGTTTGGGAGGATGACATTACGGCTGATATTACCTCACTATGTATGTGGTGGAATTTCCAATTGGGGCGGCGAGGGCTCCTATGTTTCAAATTCTTTTGTATGTATACATCTATATGTATATTTATCAGTGTTGTTATTACTGATTATATTATTCCCTGGTTTTAATTTAAGGAAATCTACGTGCTGTCCATTGAAAGTCTGGCTGAGGTGACTGCTCGTTGTATTGAACAACTTCATAAGGTAGCAGAATTAATTCTACATGGGCAGGAAGTAGAAAAAACAGCTCAAGATCAAGCAAAAGTACTGACAAAGTGAGTATTATGTACTTCATATTTGAACATTTGACATTTGCTTAAAACTCATGAAGTTCCGTTCAGCTTTTGGCACTTGAAGGCACAGTAATTTCATGGATCAACAAACAGCATTGGCTTTAGGGGTCCTGGTGCTATATTTTCTCATGTAATCAAGTTACATAGGCTACCTGTCATTTTTTTGACACAGCTAACATATGTATGTTTACAAAAACATGACTTATTCACAGGCTGAAAGTTGTTTCTGCTTCAGCTAGTGAATGTACATGCTCATTGGGTTGCATTTCCTGTTCACTCTGCAAAAGATACTGTGCTAGCACATACAGAATTTGCTTTTGGAGTGCATAATGCAGTCTTACTATTGGCCAATAGAGTTTCATTATCTAGTGTTTACCTGCCAAAAATATACAAAAATCAATCTGTAGTTCTAAACTATAAGACCACATTTGTCAGCAACTTCATAGTAAACCATGACAAAACATACATAAATTAAGAAGCCAGTTTATCTAGTGGGACTCAAAATTCAGATCTCAAGCTCTCTGTAGTAATCAATTCTACTGATTCCAGTGGGTTTTGACATTAAAATGTTGTAAGCACTTGAGTCCTAAGTAAGTAAATTATTAAAGCAAGTGTTTATCCTTAGGAGTGCTAGTAACAATGGCAAAGTCCATAGGAACACTTCAGTCTAAAACAAAGTACTTGAACAAGTATTTTTCCGAATTAGAGCTAAGGTATGGTGCACCTTGCAGGATGAGATTCTATATGATGCACTTGTGAATGTTTAGCAAAACAGTGAAAGATCTAGGAATAGAACTAGATCTCCTTGTTCTCTTGTATTTTAACCACAAGGGTACTTCCTCTTTTAGTACAGAGTAGATGTTTTATTGCTTAGATAGGAAACGTCTCACTGTCCTCATTAAAGTTTGATTTATTTCTACCGGTATTTCTAGAAGTTGTGTTGCTGCAATCATCAGAAGTTTAGAATTGAAAAAAATTGAAACATTGCCCTACCAAAAAAGACTAGCATTTGAGCCAACGTGACATCATTTTGCTACTGTAGTCAGCAATGGATTTTTCAGTTGTCCTGGTTTCAGCTGGGATAGAGTTAATTGTCTTCCTAGTAGCTGGTATGGTGCCATGTTTTTGAGTTAGGTATGAGAAGAATGTTGGTAACACTGATGTTTTCAGTTGTTGCGAAGTAATGTTTAGTCTAAAGTCAAGGATTGTTCAGCTTCCCATGCCCAGCCAGCAAGAAGGCTGGAGGGGCACAAGAAGTTGGGAGAGGACACAGCCAGGACAGCTGACTGAAAGTGGCCAAAGAGTATTCCATACTGTGTGACATCACATCTAATATATAAACTGGGGGGAGTGGGGGCGGGAGGATCGCCGATCAAGGACTAACTGGGCGTCGATCGGTGGGTGGTGAGCAGTTGCATTGTGCATTATTTGTATATTCCAATCCTTTTATTATCACTGTTGTCATTTTATTAGTGTTACCATTATCATTATCATTATTAGTTTCTTCTTTTCTGTTCTATTAAACTGTTCTTATCTCAAGCCATGAGTTTTACTTCTTTTCCCAGTTTTCTCCCCCATCCCACTGCGGGGGTGGGGGGTGGGGAAGTGAGTGAGCGGCTGCATGGTGCTTAGTTGTTTGGCTGGGGTTAAACCATGACATCAGTGGAGGAATATAAAAACTATACCATGAACAAAATCTACCCCAAAATATTTAAAAAATTACTAGAAGCAAAATTGCCTTAAGAACATTCTTGGCTTCTAAGATGAAGTGTGTGCTTGGGACAGTCATAGGGGTTTTATCCGTTGACAGGACAAGAATGTATTTTTATATTTGTCTCTTTTTTTTTAAACCAGTTTAACAAGTGCCATGTGCAATGAAGTTTCATCTTTATCAAAGAAGTTTTCTGATTCTTTAACAGCAGCTGGGGTAAGATAACAGCATTTTCTGTAGCATTTGGGCTTTTTTAAACATAGTTAACTTCTTGAAACAGAAATTATTACCCAAGTCCAGTGGCTTTACATGAGGTACCAGCAAAGAGAGCACTTCTTTCCTCAGATCAACAGCACAGAGCATTTTTACAGGAGATTCCCTGTTGCAGAGCAAGTTTATAAGGCTTGATAGACTGCAATGTGTCCCTTGCCTTCTAAAAATCTCTCTTTCTAGATACCATTTCCCATTTTTCCTGATTACCACATAGCATTTCTTATCTTCTCATGCTGAAAGGGCCCCACATTTGAAGTCCCACAACTTGATGATATTCTCTTCTCCTACTCAGCCTATCCCTTTTGAATGTATTTGTGTAAAAGTCATTACCAGATAACACTTCCAGTACCTTAAGATAGTTTCACAAGCTCTCTTCTTAGGCTTTGCTAAATCCCCTGGCCTAGGGTCACTATGCTTTTAAAAGGTTTAAGAGATTAGAAAATCTGTTTGGTTGTCCATCTTTAAAAAAATCACTCTGTCTTGTATCTCAAAATATTCCATTTAGGAACATCCATTTATCCATGAACATCTTTGCTAGAAGTAGTATCCTGCTTTTCAAGATGTTTCAAAGATGACTGACATCTGAGTATTCTAGCAGGATCCAGAGGCAAAAATTGCGCTGTTGCTGAAATTGTTCTGTAAACGTCAGAGAAGAACAAACTCTGGCTCTCCTGATTACTCCATGAAAACGTGAATGTACATCAAAGGAAAATTTCCCAGTTCTCCCATGAGCTCTTCCAGCACATCTCTGAGCAGTTTTTTCAGAGTTATTTGTAGAGAACATGATTTATGGGGTTGCTTTTATTCTGAATAATTTACATTCCTTCCCATTACTCTAGGAGAAACTGCTTATTTTGCATTTTGGGATTGTAGTTTAGCATATCTTTGTGTGCCACTTGCAATAAATACGTGCACAGACATATAAAAATAAATTGCATATGAAATATTAAGCTGGCCCAGATCAGAAAATTGGGAACTAAAGCTTTCATAAGCATTGCACTAGTTTTTTTTCTTATCAACTCTGTACTCAGTTTTTAGGACCAGATTGCTTTTGTGGACATTTGTGTGGACACATAAGAAATTGAGCAGAAAGACACTTCCCATTTCCAAAATACTCTCTAGAAGAGAATTTTAGTAGGGCAGCCTGGTGATCTTTATGTGGTGTCCCATCCATGTAAGCTTTTGGAGGAAGATGTGGGCCTTCTGCTCACCGTAATCAGTAGGAAATTAAGGAGCACCTGTCATACAAGACCGTAGAAAATCTACATCTCCCTGCATGTCCCAGTGGTTCAACTTCCTCCTTAACCTGCCAACAGTACCCGGGTTCACAAACACATTCCACTATCCTGCAAAGTCCATTAACTCCTGGGAAACTGAGAAATGGCTTAGAACAGAAAATACTGGTTTTTTCAAACATAGTGCCATCCCTATAGTTCTATCTGTATAATTCAGACATTAGTTGTAATGCTGGCTGTACACATAGTCTGTAATGTTGGTGATGTTTCTGAGTGAGCGGTAGTGCAGAAGTAAGAAATAACAGCTTTGCTTGCTATGCAAGATTTCTTTCAAACTTTAACTTATTGATTCATACAATCAATAGTATTTAATTGATACTGCTCTCTATCTGTTTCAGTTTATTGACAATCAACTAAACAGTGCGCTTTGTAATGGATTTTCTAGTAACTGACAGTAAAATTGCTCTTCTTTTCTCTAACCATCTTCCCTTTGTTCTGCCATCTTTCTCCAAACTAAAATTAAGGTGTTTCATGTTTCTTTAAATCTGTAATATGAAGGCTACAAGGTTGAAAGTGGAAACCCTTCAGTTAAATTAATCAGTATTGTGTTTCCTTTGTTCTAATGAAGTCCACCGTTCAGTATTGAAAGCAAGCAACTCTTGCTGGAGGTTACTGTCATTCAAAAAAAACACAATGCAAAGAACAGTGGGAATAAAAAAAAGGAAAGAACTTCTGCCATTTTAGAAAGCAGAGAAGCTGATGAATCTTGGTTTTCTAGCCTCTAGTAGTGTCACTACTCATTGTACCCATCTTTATTCCTATCTGGTAGTTGACAAAAATGCTACGCGTGCTGAGCAATGTTTACTGGCCAGCCTGCATTGTCCAGCTCAACATATGCTGCCTCCAGTCTGGGGATCCAAGTTTCACCTGTTTTTTCTTCTGTAAGGGAGCTAATCTGGGCCTTTCATTTCCTCCTAACCACAGACATTTGTGAAACTTCTAAGAACTTAATTTTCCTTCTGACCTGTATTTTTCCTTCTTGTTTCCTTGAAAATGAGCAAGGCGTTAAAAAATTTGGGGGACACTGACTGACAGATGGACAGACAATGTCATCACATAAATCTCACATCCATAGGAAACCAGGCAATTTGAAACTCTGGTATATGAATTTATGAAAAAGTAAAACCCAGGGCCTGTCTTAGCTCATTGTACTCAGTGACAGAAATACATAGGGTCTACTGAAGTGTGTATGAAATGTAGACACAGTTATCAGGAATACTGTGATAAACAGTCTGAATAAGAATCAAGGTGAAGCAAGACCTTTATAGAATTCATAAAAACACTTTTCAGATATCAGTATATTTTTGTTAAATGTATTTCTTGTCCTGGCATTTCATTCGATTTTCTGGTTTACAGAGCAGTATGAAGGCAGAGGTTCTTAACCCCATCATCAACCGTGTGCTATTAGAGGTAAGCTTTCACTTTTTTCACATTAGGAAATGTTCTAGTAAAATGATTTTGAAATGAAACAATCGCATTTATGTCTGAAGAAAGAACTATATAAAAAGTAATGACAGTATCATTCTGGCTGTTCAGTGCCAGCTCATAAACCTCTCATTTCTGTGTTCAGCCTCTCCCACGAATACTACAGTAGTAATATTGCATTTCCTGAGGATTCTTAAGAACTGTATGACTGAAGTGAGACTGGCGAGCTCTTAAATTCTGCTGCTGTATTGGTCAGAGCACAGCAGACAGTTTGCAATGTGCTGTTTAGCCCTTTTGTAACCTATTCACAAGTTGCCCGGGATAAGTCTATTATTACTGTTCCATTACCCAAATACTGCAAAGTATTTCTGATTCACAGATAGTTTCAGACTATTCTTTTCTTTAAAATTGAGTTGCAGGTATGCTACAGTGCTTCCCATCCATGGGCATTTAGATTTCTACAAAGATTCACAGTCTAGCAGCAGGCTTGGTCAGCACATGGATAACCATGTGTCAGACATCACCAAAATGTTTGTGAGTGATTTATTAGACACCATGATCTATGAGTGACCTCTTCTTTTAAACACCATGAGCTATTCTTCATCAGAAAAGCACAGTGAGTAAAATGTGCCTCATTTTTACCAAGAAGAGGTCAAGAGGGAGTAATATGCTCATAAAGTACTAAAATGTGTACTATCTGCAACATGAATTCTTGTAACTCTGCTAATTAGATCACGCTTCTCTTTAAACATAAATAAACATATAGTAGTGACTACAAATTGTCATTCTGTATCTAATAGCTGTGTTCCCTTAAAAATGAGGAAAAGATTGTTTTACAATAAGCAATTTTGCACTGAATTAACAATATCTTTAACAATAATAATGGAAAGTTGAATAGAGCTGTAGTAAAGGTTACTATACGGTTCCTTTTGTTATAGGGTAAATTTGCTGTTACATCTGACATATCTTTCTGTGCTCCAGATATTGCAAAATCTGGGAATGTCCAGAATTATGGAGTACAAGGTTTTGTACCTCTTAAATCCTGTATTTGTATACAAATATGTATTAGTACAGCCTAGGTTCATGGAGAATTAAAAGCTGCTATACCGTTCAGTATTAGAAATTCCAAAAACAGTACTACATGTTAGAACCATTGTAATAATTCAAATTGCTAATTTCAGTGACACTTCTTCCACCTACAGCAAATTCAAAATTAGTTCTGTTGATGGAAAGACTAGCTGGTTTGTATTTAAAAAGTCAAATCTACTTCTGAACACCGTGGCATTTTATTCTACTCACATTACAAACAAAACTGTCCAAGAGTTCAAACTGAGGGGAAATCAGATTTTTTTATAGTGATTCAGGCTATCCTTGTTAGCCTGAAACTGTTGCAATTCATCATTTTTGTTATCTACAGATTGTGAAATCTTGTGTGAATATATATGCTAATATAACATGATGCAGATGTAAAAAAAGTAAAGTGTATTTAAAAAGTAAAATGTAATTCCTGAAATACATGACAGCTATACTGATGAACCATGTTTTCTCTCCCCATTAGGGTTGCAACAGTACTACTTATATTCAGGATGCTTTCCAGCTATTGCTTCCAGTTCTACAAATTTCACATATCCAGACCAGTTGTTTGAAAGCACAAGAGTGACAGTTTCCCAGCAGTTGTCACCACTGGGCTTAACAGAAACCACAGACCTAATGTCTTTAATGTACGCAGATAGAAGAGATGGTATGAGAGATGTCTGGACACTTAGAGTCCTTTGAAGACACTAAACGCGGTTTTGCACATACAATATTGAACAACGTTTTAAAACTCTTCCAGACTTTTAGACATTAGCAGTAGTTAGCAAAGTGACTAATTTCTTTTCCATTAGAGCATATCCTTTGCATTAATTTAAACTGAAGTTTATTGATATTAGCATTGACTTAAATACAGATTCTAAATGTTACCCTTTCAGTTGTAGACGAAGTATGAAGCGAATTAGAATGTAATTTTTTTTAAAACATTTCAGCCCAAATGACCATTTCTATTGTTTGCCTCCTAACTGTCAGTTAAAAATGTGTATTTCAAAAGTTGGTTTCAATATTTAATTTTAGCCAACATGAACAAATTATCAGTGTTGTGCTTGTTAAATATTATTTAGAGTAGCAAATAACATCATAATAATATGTACCACTTACATAACACTTTGTGTTGAAAGAGTTGTACAGTAGTAGGTATTAACATAACTAAATGAAAATTATGGAGTTTATGCATTATGAATTATACTGAAAAGAAATTTTCTGAGCCAGTTAAGAGTACGGGTAAAGCTCTGTATTTGCTGACCCATAGTTTTATATTCATTTATGTCTATTTCTTAATTCCAATGGCTGAACAACATTGCAGGCCAAATTAATCTTTTTAATATGCAAAGAATAGAAAATTTCCCTTTTGTTTGGCAATTGAAACACCTCCAAAATAATCTCCTCTCAGATGAGTTACCCAGGTTAGCACCTTGTAGGGTTTCATTTGGGCTCTAAACATTATGAGCCTTTTTATCAAATGGAGTTACTGATACTGACAATACAGAAATACAGTTTTGGGGCATAGAAAAGAAGTTGTGGAAAGAAGTTATGAGAGAATTGCTTTGGGTGGGGAGGTCACATATCAGAGCAATCACCTTTTCTCTGAGGCAGTAGCTAGACAGACCATAACTGAGCAGCAGGAATGACGTTTTGTAATAACACTAGCAACCATGATAATTTGTCCATATCCTTAGCTTAAAATCCTGAGCTGTGAACCTCAGGATTTGTTTAGGCTAGTTTACCTTGTAGACAGGAAGAACCTTCCAATATTTTATGTAGCCTGTTCTCCTGGGTTTTCATTGTTCATTACGTTTCTTTCAGCTATTTTGTATTTTTTCCTCTTGATACTCATTAATTGTATTTAACTGCTTTTTAATTGTAGTTGACATCTGAATATGTGTAATCATAGAAGCATAGTTCATACATCATAAAAATAATGAAATAGAGCATGAGGAAATACTATCCTGTTTTTTAGAAAAGAGAAACCATGTATCTGCTTTGTACATGGTAACTTTTTCGAGTCCAAATAAGAGAGGACAGAAAGGTGTGTTTGTGTCTTTCTTACACTATTGTGGTCCCTGTTCTGCTGTCACACACATTGTGACTTCTCTGTTTTTAGATTTGACATACCTTTCTGGGTAAGTAGAAGGGGTACAGTCTTCAAGTCCACTGGCGCAGAATGTAAAAACAAAACTTACAGCAATGTGAACAAAAATAAGAAAGCCGCTTGGCAGCTGAAAAGGCAAACAAAGCTTGACATTCATTGCTATTTACGCCCTATTGCACAGCTAACATTACCTCAACATGGGAGAAAGCAGGACACAGGAAAATGCAAGCGGTAAGCAGGCTCACTAGCCCAAAGGTAGGATGCAGCTCCCACCAACCGTTACATCCACGACACTTCTGTCTGGCATTGCTTTATTTCTGAAAGCGTCATTTCAAAAGTGCATTACAAAATAATGTTCTGTTGATGCAAAACATTCCATCTCTGGCTTCTACACTTTGAGGGGAATAAGCGGACTCTTCTCTACTAGTCCTTTCTGGCTGCTGGAAGAGACACACGCTTGTACTTACTTGACCAGGTGTCATTCTTGTATATGCACTTTGACCCAGCAGAACAACTCCTCAGTGCGGATGACTGAGGACCGTGTACTTGCTCCATATACTTGATCGTGAGCAGTTTCCAGTTTTAAAGATCTGGACACCAGTGAAAGCATTCAGTAGCTTGTAAAAAGGCCTATTTGTTTAAAGCAGTTTTTTCTGTTGTTCTATGCTGGCAAGCAGAATATAATACCTGGTTAAAAGCTTGTTTATTTTTCAGACAAAGACTGTCAAGAAAAGTCTAGTGTTTTCACCTATCAGTCATTACATCCTGGATTTATTCTTACTTTAATTCGGTCATTATTTTTCATCAAGAAACCTTTCTGTCCACATTGGAGTACAGCTCTGCGTCAGGTATCTGTAAAATGCCAAATCCGTGTTAATGCCAAATGAGTCATAGAACATAGCAATAGCTGTTTCATATTGTTCCTGTGCCAAGTTAATGTTTTCAGACATAAATGAATTTAGTTACTTTTTCATACGGATCTTTTTTTTTTCCTCTGAAATGCAGTGCAGAATATGTAGTGTTAAACCTGTCAGAAAAATGTGTTGACTGATAGTGGTGCCTTTTAGCAGAGGCTGAACAATATAGTATTAGAAGCCTCAGGCAATAATGTTTGAAATCATTGAGGGGTGTTCTTAAGACAAAGATTGCTTGTCTGAGATATTCCTTACTGGAGGTTTCACTGTCTTGCTTAAATTATGCAGGTATTGAATAAAGTACCTTATGCTGAAGTAAAAGAAGCTATAAAAAATAATGTGGCGACTTGAAATATTTACATCCATACAACGTGGGAAGGGAAGTAGGGCAGAATATGAGCATAGGGATACTCCATCTGATCTCAGATGCAGTCATCTTGTCCTAGGAAAACTGAATGTTATATCTTTAAATCAATTTCAGGTAAATAATATTTCGGTAGAAAAGTACTATGTGGATGTAACCAGAATATTTTGGTCACGCTGGTTTGTATTTTTCCATCAGTCAAATAAATCATTTGAGATATTGAACTGCGACAGTATACTGAAAAAAGAATGTTTTGAAGAATAATGTGTTGGGAGGATGTACTCAGTGAAGTCTTTCACTTTCTAATTTTGCGAATTACCTTTGGAATGATGAGTGTGATTTTACTGAGAGTCTGACAAAAACGGATGTTGCCTTAAACTTTTAAGGAAGAGTGTTCTTTGTTTCATCACCACCTTTTTCCAGGTCAGTACGCTGAGTGTGCCTTGGCACACCTTTTTATGCAGAGGCAAAGGAGGCAGGCTTTTGCACTCACTAAGTTAAAAAATTTATCAAGATGAAACCTAAAACAATGTCTGCATACATACAACCTTGCCGATGATCCATTATTACAGGTCATCACTGAAGGATGAGCTAGAAGTAAATTAGACAAGTTATTTCTGTATTTGTATATTAAAGGTATTTGCTGCCTTTTTTTTTTTTTTTTAGGCAAAGAAAACAAAGCAAGCTGTAAGTTGTTTGCTGCTTTTTAGGGTATAGTCTATTAGTGTGTAAACATCTTTTCCCCATGATTTGCTCGTACACACCAGCATCCATTTCTTGAGACAGCTAAACAAAAGAACTGTCTCTTCCACTTTTTTCATGCTGCTTAGATCATGCACTGAAGCCATTAATGTCTTCCTCCGAAATGTGCCTCAATCATATAATACAAAACCACAGTCATTACAAGTTGAGATGATTTTTAATGATGTTTCCAGTGTCACCCACCAGTTAGGATTCATAACAACTTTAATGAGTCTGAAATGCCACAGTATTTTGAGCAACAAATACAGATTTTCACCTTTTTTCCGATTCACGGAAGTGTTTTTATCACAGAAGCAGTCACCCAGCTCATAGGATTATCTTTGAGACATTCCAATTCTATTTCAGATGACAGCCCTGTCCTTTCTGTTAGTCTCAAAAGAATGTAAAGAGTAGAAAAGGACTTTCCTGAGTTCTTTTTAAAACCATCTCAGAGCACGGCTTAACATGACACCATCAGTCAGTCTGACCTACTTTGAAATTCGTACGGTCTGACTGGAAAGCCCTCTGGACTTCAAACACTTTTTCCGTCTCGGGTGAACCTTTGTTGCTGAAGCTACTTTTAGTGTGCGACCTGTACATTTTCCATGCTCTGACTCCTGTTTCAGCATTCATAGTATTGACGGTGTGCAGTTTTAGAATTAAAAAGAACTGAAAATAAAAATGTCAAAAATTGAGCTGTATTAAAAAGATGGGAGAGGGAAAAAGATTTTTAAAGAAAAAAAGGACATGCTCTCTGGAAATAGGAACAATTTTCAAGGTTGTATTAGAGAAAAGGCACTCTCAAAGAATTTTTTAGCATTTTTCAGAATAAACAAGAGATGACATCTGATTAGTTCCAGCGGAACTGGAATAATGGCACTTCTGAAGTAAAACGAAAATCTGCATGAACTTATAGGAAGCAAGTCAAAGATAAGAACATTCAAAGAGGAATAGCTCCAAGGAAAGATGACAGCTAATTTGATCACTCTGGATCTGCAGTGCTCATTCTCCCTTTATGGCCTGCACCCCAAATGTCCCTGAGCACACATCTGCTAAGAACTCCTTATTAGTCTCCCCACTTTGATCTCCTTTTCACAGCTTCCCTTTACAGTCTTTTGAGGAGTTGCTCTAACAGACTGGGAGCAGAGCACTAGCTATTCATTCTGCCTTTCAAACATTTTACCCAAGGAGTGAAAGAATATTTCCTGTATAACCCTACAACAATGTGCAAAAGGAGTCTAAAAAAACTGCAGCAAAGACTAATAATTCTTAGTGAGCTGAATTTGCTGCTGCTGTAGAGGGAGGCGTGAAGACATTACTTAAACAAATGCGTGCTATTTCTCTTCTGCACTACAGGGTTGAGGCTGGAGGGCGTTCAACAAAAGGTGCCAATTCTGGAGTCAGACAGTGTCACCTAAATGAAAGCCAGAACACTGGGTAATTCAAACAATTTTTAAGCACCTTCAGAAGCCTCTCAACCCATTTACTAGACTTGGAAAAATGCAATCCTACTCTTCCTGCCCTCTTGCTTACCTCAGACACTGTATCAGCAGCTTATACGATGCTGGTGTTTAAGGTGCCTTTCCTCCAGTTCCCTCACCAGTTCTGCTCTGTGTCTGTTTCACACATCTGCATTCCGTATGCCATCAGTTCTGCCTTCCCCACCAGTTTTATTCACCCCACTCTCCTCCACCTTCATGTCTCCTTCCCCCTGCTGGTTTCGGAGGTTCTTCCCTCCTGCCCATCATCTTGTGCTTGAGAGGCTGCGCCAGGAAACTTTTTCTCCTCGTGTTCAGTTTTGAAAAAGCCAGAGGTGAAGACAAGGGGTTAAGAAGACATGTGAAGAGAGAAACCCAGAGGATCTCAGGAAATAATGGGAAGACACTAATCTGGTTGCTTTTTAGTCCCCTCCTTCTTCCTCCAGTGTAAGGAGGTTGGACTAGAGACTGCCTGCGGTCCCTTTCAACCTCAATTACCTCAGGATCACATTTTTTCTTACCATTCTTACCAATGTCTCCCCATTCTCCCACTATTTCCTATAGTTGGGATCATACGTGCAAGACAAGGTAAGCTCTAATCAACAGAGATTAAAAGCTTGTAAGAGCCTTTTGGGTTTACTTGGTTTTGGTGTTTTTAAAGGTAACTTGGAAGATGGAATCTTCCAGGGTGGTAAAACCAGGCACTTGGAGAGCTGTGGGATAACTGTGGGTAATAAAAGAGTAAGTCACAGTTTAGCCATCCAAGGAGAAGAAAAGAGGGAGGTTATAGGCAGCAAGAATAATAGAATTAAATTATGGGAGAAAGGAAAATAAATTGGGGTCACAAGGAGCAAGGCTGTCCCTATCCACAAGATCTCTGGATTACTAAAGGGGAAGAGTGATAGATGGTGCCATCATTTGAAGCATTTAAACACTGACTAAAATGGCCTTAGCAATTCTGCAGTGATTTGAGATAGATATGTCTTTTCATCTGTAAATTGCTGTTCTATAGTAAGAAGAAGAAAAAAACAACCAGAAACAAATTGTGAGAGGTTTATTTTATAGACTGTATTAAAAAATCCATTTCTGAAAAGCTTTAAGTTATTACCATAGATAAGCAATAAAGCCTCAAAAGCCCCCGAATCAAGAAAGTCAGTATTTTTCTGACTTTTTTTATAAGATGGTAACAAACAATGGAAACAAATGCTTCAGACTTACCCAACTAAATATAAAAAATTCCATATGGCCTCAAATCATTCAGAAGCTAATGTTCACAACTATTCCTATTAACTCTGAACTGCTTGGTGCAGTATAATGACTGGAGAAGCAATTTCAGAAAGCTTCAGGAGGGAAAAGCTGTATAAATGAAAGGGATGGAGGTTATGAAGTATTAACATGATGCTAAATTGCTGCATATCATATTTGCAATGGGCAGTTTACAATCTGTTCATCCTGATGGATTTAGCACAAGGGAGTCTGAAGTCCTGGCTCTGCAATTTCTGTCTCTGCCTAGTAACTGATGGTTAAATTGTACCCACAAATAATGTGTTAGCACTGAATGAGTTTGGGACCCTGCTCAAGCCCAAACAGCTCCAGTACACTCAGAGGAGCAGTAATAAATGGAAAGTAAGGAAAAGTTCCAGGAGATAATGAGTCTGAATGCTAATGACCTAAGCTAGTACAAAAGATAGAAACACAATTTATCAAAAAGTACAAAACCCATTTGGTGTCTTAATGAGTTATTAAAAAACACTAATAACAATTTGGTGGTTTGAAGGCAAATGACTATTTTTCCACTTTTTTTTTTTATCCATCAAGATGTTGCAGAATTTATGAAGGTCTTCCTGGTTTACCGCAGAAATTAAAATGCACTGCAGAATTCTCTCCTATGATCCTTCGGCCACCTTCCTCAACAGCCAGAAATTGTATCTTTCAAGCATCTTAGTCACCTAGAGCATTAAATAGGTTGAAAACTGTGCTCATTTCATGAAAGTAGAGGGTAATTTCTATCTTTAAACAGACTTACGTATCTCTGATAGAAAATGAAATTATTGCAAAGATTATCTCACAACCATATGATTAAGTATAAATCCTGAATGAACTGAAAATAAAGGTGAAATCTATACTCTCCTATTGAAGTTGTTTCTACAGCAAAACACATTTGTCCATCATTTGTATTTTCTTAATACCAAATAGTTCTGGTGATGGATAAAATGAAGCTTCTCAACTAAAATGCATAGTTGGCATTCTCATGAAAGGACAGATGACATAGCTCCCCAAACTGGAAATGGAGATGCTTGCTTCTGTGGTGTATGGTATGTCTTCTTTCATCCAATAGTAATGATATTTCATATAGTGACATCTGAAACTAAAGAAAACAGTATCAGAAAAAAGAGGAGGTTAATTAGGTCTTTTCTAATTTATCTTAAGTGTCATTCTTTTGACTTTCACAGTAGTGAATTCTCCTCTTTATTACAAAAGAAAACAACATTGTAACTACGGGGTAGACAAAATAGACCATACACATCAGATTGGAGCAAAAGACCTAAGAATGATACCTGCCGGCAGAATGATGGTTTAGGTACCTGCCCCACAGGAGTATGGTACAGGAACCTGAGTGAGAAGCACTGGACCTTACTCACTTTTGGGGAAGCCTAGCAATGTGAGAGTGGGCAGAGCCAAAATCTGCCCAAGAGAGCATTCACCACATCCATCTGGCTGCAGTGCTCCCATAAGGATGTCCCTCAAGTGTCTCAGACTGGCTTTCTGCAGAGTGTCTCCATCTACACAGAGTTCAGTCTGGAACTGTCTTTTAAAGGTAGGTGGTGACTGATCCCTTTCCTCTAAATAACTGAGCAGGCTTCCCTTTCTTCTTCCCTCCTGGCAGCTAGATGAGGGGAGAAGAGTTTTGTGTGAGATCTGCCTCCACTCCAGAATCTCTTGCTCTGTGTCAGCTCCTGGGCATCTCTTCATGAACTACTCCACCTGCAGCAGAGAGTTCAGAAGTAAATCTGGGGTATTAACAAGGTCTTACTGCAGCTGAGCCAAAATAAGCTAAATTATCCTGATGGGAAAAAATAAAAATAGACCAATCCAAACCACCAGCTGGATGGAAGAATTTGCAAACCTGTGCCCAACTGCATTTCCCATACTGTACTCATATACAGTAGGACAAATTTGAAAATAATGAAAAAAGAGCAGCTTCTTCCACATTCCCAGGCGAAAAATACTGCTCAGCAATCATCAATACAATTTTTGAAATTTGGACTGCAGCTCCCCGAGTGGCATGTGATGAGGAACCTTGAAATATGACAATGCCCAGATCCCAGTCAAGCTCATCTTAGTTTTTAAGGAACTATACAATGCCAGTTGGGGCGGGAAGTGCAAGATTTCTGTACTTCTTACTCTCACACTGAGTGAAAAAGCAAATGTGGCTTGTTACCCATTCTGATAGTTCATGTAGCTGCAGGCCCCAAAACAACATTTGCCTCCCTTTTCCTTTACATCATAAGAACTGGGATAAGAAGTGTTCCTTGGCTGTGAAATCATACTGGAGGCAGCAGCTGCTGAAGTGAGCTAGAAAATTACAAGTGTAGGCAGGATACAATGCATCAAAAATTGATGCTGGCTAATGGAACAGTGGGTTTAAACAGCCTACACAGTGCCCATTACAGTCCAGTTCTGCAAGCAAGCAGGAGTGCTTCCCTTCAAAAACCTCTAAGTGTCTGTTTTGGAGAGAAACACATCCTGGCATGCATTCTATGCAGAGCCCAGTAATTGTGCCAAGTGCCCAGGAATGTGCTCAGCACATTCAGATTCTGTGAGCGCTCTCGTACTGAGAGGAGTTTTCGTTTTAATGTATGATTAAGACTTGAATCTATTATGGAAGCAGAAACAGAGGAGGAATGATCTTTCATGATATTTAAAAAATAAATATGTAATCGAGTGACTGCATGCAGTCCTGAAAACAGTTTAAAGCTGCACGTGTGCATAAATCTTTTTTCATAGTTATCTACAGGAATTCATGAAAGCATACAAAATGATGTCTTAACAAAAATGGCCAACTGGCAAGCCCAGTATGTTAGTACTAGCAGGAACTTCTGCCTTCAGCAGCATCACACCCAATTTTATGATGACTTTAACCACAGAACTATCACTTCTGAGCACTGAAATGATGCTTTTCAGAAAAAGTGTCAAAAGGATAATTGGAAGGATCCCAGCAATTTAAAATCACACCTACTGTTATTTACAATACATGCGTGATTTATAAAAACAGCTTAACTGTAATCTTTCTCTCGCTCTTGAGTACACTTGGTATGTGCCTTAGCTAGAATGTTTTGAACTAAGAGTTGCCCTGTTTTCCCTGCATAATTTGTATCCTCTGTTGTTCATGTGGGTGTCTTGCTTGAAGACAGATGAGAGAGGGATTCTTTTAAATAGGAAAGGATTTTTGTAAAGCCACAATCACATAAGGAAAAGCAGGCAAGGAATATTTTTAGTTGCCCTTCCTGTTTGTGCTACTAAGTTCTGTAATGATGGCATTTAAAGACCTCTTCAGGAAGGCAGTAGGTGCCTGAGCCAAAGCCCAGGTAATACCCTCAGTGGACCTGCATTGAATTTTGCTGGTACTAGGCTGGAATCTGCCTAATTAAATTTCTAAATTGCTAGGGGAGGGTATCTTTAGAAAACGACAGCAGTGACAATACTCTGAATGTAGCTGGATAGAAATCAGCCTCTCGTACACTTAGTTACTTACTGATCTCTTGTGCCAACCACCCCACACGGGAGGTTTTGCGTCCACGTGCTTTTAGAGTGTAAGAGGGGAAAGGGACCCATCAACTTCTTTTATTTTACAGTTTCTGTGAAAGAGGTTTTCACCTTTTTAGCCATACACATGCTTCCCCTGTGTGTCATCCCTGTCAGTTACCTGTCATCTACCTTATGTTCCAGTTTTACAATCCATTTCACCTGAAGATAAGATCGTGCCTTAAATTCTGTATTCACTGGGACACCAACTTGTCTTATCTAACTATACAGCTACACTGTCACTCAGAAGGAAATACAGAGATGTGAAGCACCTTATGTGTTCAAGGATCTCAAAGCTCTTTCCAAAGAAAGATGGAAGTGCTGACGGTGAAAGGCAGTGTATTAAAAATCGTTGGCAATTGCTGATGTGGAACTTTCATTAGCTTTTATGCAGCCTTTGACACGTCCACCACTTTTATTAAGAGAATTAATGGGAGGCAGGACACTAAGATTGTTTCATCTTGTTCTTGGGGCATTGACTGTCAAAGAGATAGATGCAGTAAATAAAGTGTTTGGGATAATAGTGACCAATTTGTGTGAATTTGATTTAACAACAGCAGACACTTTTTAGCAAAAAAAAAAAAAAAAAAGTCCACAACTGTTGGCTTTAAGATACTGAGTTTTCCTTCTTTCTTTCCTCCTTTCTTTCCTCATAAAATGGCAGCACTTCATCCACGAACTGCCAGGTCTGTATCTGTCCCTAACTTCCCCAAATAAGGGAGAACACTGTTCTGTCCCTAGTCGTTCATGAAATCCATTAATGCTCCTTTTGATTCAGACAATACAATGGTGCTTCCCCTTAAACAGGCAGCAGGCAGAAGTACTGCAGGAGAGGGCTCACAATTACTCTTCATGCTATACACATGTGATTTTTATTCTGCCCTGATCACCATAAGACTGAAGTGCACTTTTGGCATGGAAGAGGCCAGCGAGACCTGCACAGCCAGTCTGCCCCGACTCCACGTGGTCCCACGGCGGGGGAAAGACGACTGCTGCAAGGGCAGGACACAGACAGAGGCAAGTCTGTGGCTTTCTTAAGCCTCCAAGGGCAAGTTTAGCCAAAACCTTCCCTACATAACAATGATTTGGGGGCTAACCATCAGCAAAATCATCTTGCTGAATGCTCCAACACCTTCAGATAGGCTGTTCATCATATATAGGGGTGTTCTAATGGGCATGGTGATTTGGCTCTTACTTGCCCACTTCTATTTCTTACTCCAATTATTCTTTGCCCCCACTGTTTTAGGGAACGGCCATTGAATCAAGTGCATTCAGAAATGTTAGTCCTCTTATGGTTTCACATGCTGCATTTTTTTAAGTAAAGGGAGCTAGCAGCCTTGCTCCGATATATAAATTCAGTATTTATCCCTCTGATCTGCTCTCCCAGATTTCTTGCTATCAGTCCAGCTTCCTGTTTCTGTCTTTTCATCTGTCACAGAAGAGGGTATTCACTGCTGGCACTTTAAAAAAAAAAACAACAAAAACAGACCCAGATATACATCCCACAGCATTTTAGAGCTGCTAAAAATAATAGTTGATGCAAGCAGCGTTCTAAAGTTAAAAGTACCAGTTGATGAAAGTAGTGCTTTGTAAGTTAAAAGCACTACACAATCTCTGTTTTAGCTGAGGATAAACAGTTCTTACCAGGGTGCAAATTAGTAAGGAGGTATCATTGGCAGAGATGGAAGAAGTTCAGTCTCCAGAGCCTTATTCTAGCGTGCTGGCCCCTGAGCAGCATTGCCTCCATATGCAAATATTTGCCCTGAATAAAATGTTCATGCTTCCTATCTAAATAAACAGCAGCCTTGAAATTTGCAGTAATTAATGTCACCTTTTGACAGCACTAAGGAAATACATCTACAGCTGTGATATGTAAAGAGAGGACTGTCTTAAAGCACTTGAGAGGCTTGGCTCACTCATTTTTTCCAGACAGTTGCTAATATGGTGGTTTAATGAAAGATGGCAGAAACAGAGGAAGATTCTTAACTTCAGCACTCAAATGTAATAATAATAGCTACCGTGAAAATACACAGAGGCATTAAGTGTCCTGTGCTGAAAAGATTCTCCTTTGGCAAAATTATAAGTGCAGAAGTTGGTGCATTTTTTATTAACTGAATTAGCTGTTAGTGTGAGAGTAACCAATGAACAGTAAGTAATGGAGCACGTGCATGCATCTCTGTGCACACACACAAACAAATACACACACAGAGAGATGCATAGATATACACACACATATGATAGAAGTATATTGATAAACATAGGACCACACATGTGTGTAGCCATGTGTGTAGTCTTGTGTTTATCCATATACTTACATTCTATGATCAACAAGCAGTATTGTCTTAAATACAAAGAAATTAAAAAGACATTTATAGAAAGAAACATGTCTTTTTCTGACATAAAAAGAAAAATTCAGCAGAAAGTAGCAATATGTCATTGATTATTGATCTCTCTCCATCTACCAGCAAGACAAATACTTCCCTGTTGTAGACTGGAGCAACGAGCGAATAATATGTCTTATACTTTGCTCTCCTGTTCAATCTGGATTTTTAACTTACTAAATTCCTGTGGCTAAAAACAATGTTGTCAAGCTTTTCAGCTTTCAATGTGTGGGTTAAGGCCCGTTGCTGGGGCCATCAGCAGGTTCTCCAGCTCAGTAGCAATTATGGTGATAAGAGTAATCCTTGCTTTTCCATTTCCTCTTCCTTACAGCTGCTGTTATGCCTACCACACCTACTGTACAGCTAGCCTCCTTACACAGAAATGAAATAAACACTCTCTGCTGTAGTTAATGCTTTCTCTGAGTGCAGCTTCAGCTAGCTGGAAATGAGGAAAAGCATAACTCAGAAGTGGTTTGCCTGTCCCCGTCTTGCCTGTTTGATCTAGGGCAGGCATTGAGATAACTCTTACCACCTGGACTGAAGCCAGATTTGAAGCAGAGAAGGGCAGATGTTAGCACTCTCTCCAGTGGAGCTCTCTCAGGTTTCTAGCTCAGGCTAGAACACTTCCTTGTTTGAGGCTCTTGTATCAGTGATCTGAAATGCATGTGCTCCAGGGGAGCAGCTGGCAGCGTGACACACAGATGATGTTTTTGATCAAGAAGCTCCTGGTACACACTTCTTAATCTCCACCCCACCTCCTTCTTGGGAAAAACCAGGTTTTATCAAGTTGATGTAGTCTATAATTGTCTTTGTCAATTCTGGGAATTTAATCATCTCAGTGTTTTTCGCTCTCAGTACTCAGCTGTTCATGTGCAGCACTTCTAACGCAGCAAGCTCCTCGCTGTTGAGCTAAGTAGTCTTCAGCAGCATTCTAGAGGCTTCGTAGAGACAACCCTAGCATTCATGAGAAAAGCAGACCGCAATCTCCTTCTGCAGCCTGAGTAATCAAAAGGACTTCCAGCTAGCAAGCTTTCCTGTAACTGCAGTGTCGTTAGCCACTGAGCCACCCGCGAACACAAGCAGTAATGAGTTGAATCCAACCTTATCAGATGAAGGGGGAAGTACTTCTTTGCAGGAAGTGAAGCAAAACTAAAGCAGAACGTGCTTTTATTATTTTCACAGACTATTTAGCTTTGAGACAGCATTCCTTTGAGAAATGTTATTCAAAACCTAACATGATGAAAGGCAAGATAGAGATCTAAGTTCCTGCCTCTCCAGCCACATCCTTTAATAATCTTTCCACACGATGTCATGTAACATTACAATTTCATGTATTCAGCATTAATCCCACGAATCACATCCAGCTTGCACCTCACTGCCAGCAGTCCTTCTGACAGGAGGACTGCGTTGTGACCTGGAAAGCAAGCCTGCTTCTATACAGCGCAGCACTGGAACAAGGTATTTGGGGTTTCTCAAGATACCTACCTTTTTCTTTTAGTCACTGACCGAGAGACCAAGGGATGATTTCATCCCAAAGTGTTCTGGATCTCATATATTGTCTCACAGAGCAACCAAAGATCTGAAAAGTTGTTCCATCTCTTCTTTCTACCCTTTAATACATAATACTTAAGATAACGAAAGCAGAAGGTGTGCTAGCAGGTTGATCTCAACGCTTACTCTGACCTCAAGGAACACAAAAGTTAAATTTGCATGGGAATGGGCCATGACTTTTTTTTCTTGCTTCTAAAAGATGAGTTTTGGTGAACCCAACATCCTGGAAGGACAAAGGGTGCTCCTGATCAGCCATACTACTGTATAAATGAAGGCACTGAATACTAGTGAGCACCCCCTTAGCAACACATCCTATTACAACCTTAGAAATGTCTTGTTTTTAACCCAAGAGTAAATGTTTTCACAGGAAACAATTAAGGCAGGCAGGTATGTGGCAGACTGGGATATGGGAAGGCAAGGCTTTACCTGAGAGACAGTTGACAGGTATCAGAAAAAGAAATAGTCTGGTACTGAAGTGGTTGGGAGGAATCCCTGGAGAAAAGAAGAAGTTGCCCTATGGAAAGGCTGGTGGGGCCTCTGGGAAAGGGCCTGCTCACTCAGCAGAAGCTCATGACATCCAAATGGCAAACAGCTGAATTCAGGTGATCTGAGAACTGCTCTCATCTACGCCATGAACTTCCCAAGTCATGTTATCTCTTTCTGCCTCCTGATATCCTCATTTTAGAATAGTAATAATGACAACTTTTCATCTGTGTCAGTCCTTATAAGATCTATGGGTGGGAATCACTTAAAAAGTGGTCAGTATTTTTAATTACTATAATACAGTGTCCTCTAACCCAGCTAGTCTCTCTCAAAAGCTAAACAATAATCTAGCTCAATTATTTCTTTATTATGGCAGTACCTCATCTTTTGTCAGCAATGCTGTTCAAAATTTCTTCTTTAGCTCTGCTCTCAACATACAATTTCATTGTTTCTGGGTCCACATGAAGAACAAAAATCAAACTGCTCTTCAGTACATCAATTTTTTTAACACGTTAAAAAGATATCATGACATGATATTGAGTTTCCAATAAAACTCCATCCAATTCAAATAGATATAAAGAAGGTTCTTAAGTTTTTAACCTAAAAAATTCACCATAAACAGTAATATAATCTGTGCAAGTAGCCATAACCTTGTCTATGCAATTGATATATTAGTCTGTATTACTTAGTCAACTAGCACCTCTTCTATTTCTAAGTATTACAAGTAAGAGGATGAGGTATCTCTTACTGCACATTTCTTTTCAGACTTGTTTCCTTACACCTGGACTTCCTGAAACAATTACTGAGGTACAAGGGCTGAAGAAGTTAGAAGTGGGAGACTAGTTTTAGTTCCAAGCTGAAACCAACTTCTTGTCACTCTGACTGGTGTAATAACGACAGAGTGATGGATCGATTTCTTTTTTTTTTGAGGAATTTGATCAACAAATTATTTATTTCAAACGTGATTTTCTTCAGAGATCATTTGCAATTGCTTCTTTCCTCCGCCCTTGTCAGAAACAAATGTCAGCGTAATGCTGAAGTCCAGGACACAATATTCTACACCAGAAAAATAGTGTCAGAATTTGCACTGGGGCCTTCAGGGACACACAGGGTTTAAAAGGCTAACACATTAGCTTATAGATGACTCTTGGTAGCAGAAGGAAAATTGATTTTGTTTCCCTGCCGACTAGCTCTCACAAAAAATATTTTCTAGTTTGTCATGTCATATACTTCACTAGAAGAAGTAGTAATTTATTTTGAGCAGATACTGTATACTATTAATTCTAAAAATATGAGGCAAAACAGAATAATCAGAGTTGTAAGATATTTACTTACCTTCTACAGTTGATGCACCCACATGACAATGCTCTTGTTCAGGAATTATGGGCAGTATCTTTGTGGTCTGTGCAGTAAGTGGAATCTGTTGTTTGGTGGTTTTCACTATTGAAAGTTAAAATGATTGTAATCTGTATTATTAAACAGCAAATACATCTGCAGAGTGTTAAATAGTGAATCTGCAAGTTTGAAAATAATTGAGACCTATCTGAACACAAGGCAGAGGTGGACAGCCAGTTTGTCAGTGGGATTCAGTGCCTAGGGATTCAAATATATGTCAGGAACTCCTGAAAGTACTGACCACGTTTTGTATTTAACTTCCTCTTGATACTAGTGGGACTACAACAGACTGATGCTAAGCCTCCCTGGGAAGCATCTTGAAGGTAGGCAGCTAAACTGCTCTTGGAAATTTTACTAGTAGTGAAAATACAGAAGCATGCAAATTTGGGGTTATATGAGTCTCCCAAAATACAAAACCCTACAGTTGGCCAGTGAAGCGGGAACAACTGAAATTTAGATTGTGAACCTTCTGATTCTTTTTCACGTAAGGGCAGCCCAGATTGCCACTCAGGAACACGTGATGTGGCCTCAGCTAACTTGTCATGCACACAGGGAGAGCTACTGGGTATCATCCAGTTGTTAACAAAGACGACAGCATGCACCTCAGAAGCAGGGAAAGGTGTGGTGATGCCTTTAGCACGCTGGCAACACAGATCCTGATATGATAGCTTACTGGTATACAGATAAAGAAATGCAGAAATAGCATTGTCAGGCAAATGAACTCAGAGTTGTTGATCCAATGCGTTTTCAAAGAACTACCATAGAACACAACTAATATTTTAATGCTAGGTCCATCCTGTCCCTGACCATCCATAACTTCTGTAAACCTACAAATGGGTTTGTTTTCTACTGAGTTCATAACAAGAGGATGAACTGTGCCACTTATATTTAGCTACATACCTTCTCCACTGACTATATAATTTGGGCTTCTCGCTTTACAAATGCAATTAAAAAGTAAAGTTTGGATCTTGGTAATTAAGCAACTGAACATGAAAAGCAAAGTTAAAATAAAACTGGGGTGGTTTTAAAAATAGCAGTGGATCTTGTTTCACCCTCAGGATGAATCTGGAGAGAATGGGAATGTAGGCTGATACTCCCTTCAGAGCCTATGTGTAACACTGTTCTGCATGCATGCAAACTGAGCAGAGAATGTCAGAACTGAGAAAGATCAGAATCAAATAGGTGATGCCTCACTTGGCCAAGATTAAACAAATTTCTCCTTTCTTTGCTTTGCATCTATTTGCTGCTGTAGAAGATGTATCTTGCCTGTCCTCTTTGCTAAAAAGAGAATGTACTGCAGAATACAAAGAGGATTGAGTCTGAATTCACTGGGATGCCAGCCCTCACACTACTGAGCCAGCATTTGCTGCTATTTCCAACCTGTCAACTAACCTGAATCTGTAGCAACACATCAGAGAGATGGCAGAATTTTACCTATTTCCTCTAATCTTGTAGGAGAGCAACTATTATTTTAATAGGATAGCACAGGAAACAATACAGGAATTCAAATGCCTGAGAGAAAATTTGTCTTGTTGTTTCTTATGTGCAAATTACAGCTGTCAAGCCCACTTATATCAAATGCTATGAATGTCACAAAGTCTAAACAGTCCAGAAAACAACTGCAGGCCAGAAACCCTGAGGTTTTATTCTCTGAGTCCTGGTTGTCACCATGATCCTGCAATGTCCTTCTTTCAGGATGAGTTATAAAATTACCATACATCAGAATTAACTTTGCATTATTGTGAGCCAGACAAGTGAGTCAAGGAATCCTGTATTTGTATCCTAAAATGTAATGAACCAAACTGTGATGCCGTGAGCCAGTGGAGTATCACTGAAAATGGGAGAAGTATACCTTTTGAGCAATGTAGAAAAAGGCACTATGTTTGAACTAAGGTTGCCCACGCAGACTGTAGAGTAGTAACATGATGATATTAATATGATTCCCTGTCTGTACAGTCCCATTCTAGCATAGAAATGGGAGCAGGCCTTTTTTTAGGATAGACCTTATGCTGCTTTCAAAATAGGATAAAAATAAACAAGTAATGTCATTCTTATGCTAGGAAAAGAAGGTCTAAATGGGAATTTATAGTGCTAGTCTTCTAGTAATATAAATTCACACTTAAGTATAAACCATATAATTATATTAATGAAAATTCCAGTACGAAAAGACCCTGCTAGGCAGATTCAGTCTAGGTATTAAACACCCTGATTTATGCAATCTGTTTCCTGTGCAACTTCTTTTTTTTTTTTTTTAAAGTAATGTAGTGTACAGTTCACACTGGCCAGGCACACTGGCCCGCTCCCAACAAGTAATTCTGTGCCATGTCCCCACACTTATTTTTAGGGGGGGAATACAGCTATATGAGAATAGCTATACTTAATCAGTTACTAGTAGTGGAAAAGGTACTAAAGTGGTTTAGGGAAAGTGGGCTAAGGAAAAGGTATAGCAGCAGGGTAAGTGTAGCTGCCCTCCCTTTCTTTGGAACTGAGGCTGATTCAAGCAGTAAGCTGCGCATGACAGTTTAGCAGCTTCTGTCTGAGTTCTTTTAAAACACTGTGGGGAATACTGTCTAGTCCTTCTAATTGCTATTATTAATTTATTAAGTTGTTCCAAAACTTCTTCTACTTCCTCTTCAATTTGAGAAAGCTCCTCAAAAAAATTCTTGCAATAGAAGTCTCTTACGTGGGACTCTCCCTAAGATTCTCTGTCATGAACACAAAGCAAGGAATTGACTTTTCTTCTATGTATTATTTTCCATGTGCTACTACTATCAAGTCCTATTTGATACAAAAATGCTCTGTGTCTGGAAATACAGATCAGCCACTTGAAGAATACTTACTTCTTGCACTGAAGAAAAAGCACCCTGTACTCCTTCCCTTCTCTTGTGGCTACATTTAAGGGCAACTGTGTTTTGTCAATTCATACCATTCAAGGGACTGTTTTACATAAATGCAATGCCAGGACCAGATCCAAGGTCTAGAAAATGTGCTCTCTACAGCCCACGCTGTAGGGCATACTTTTTTGGCTTAACAGCACAGACAACATTTAGTCAACTTTTATGACCAGAATGCTTTAAATCTCCCGTTTCCTCACTATATGTGCTTAATGCTTTATAGTACCATGAATTTGGAAGGCCGTAACTCTAATCCTACCCTAGAGAACATACTATACATTTTTCCTCCTTTTCTCTGGCCACTGGACCTAATGGTAATGATTCATGGACATAGAGCCACTAACAGTTTCACAAAACCAGCATCCATGCTGTAAACTATCTTTTTGCAGGACCACAGTGATATTAAGACAGCAAGTCCCTGAGCCTACCTAGGAAATCATTCTCATTCTCAAAGTATAGGTTTTCTTCTTTTTCTTCCATTATCCTTTCTGAACTTTGAATAACCTTTTAGTAGCACCTATACATCTTTTAATCTATATGATATACTGTCACATCCTCTCAGATATATAGTTATCTAGTCTCATTACAGTGTTTGCAGGGTGATTGTATTGTCTTCAGTGGATTTCAATGTTTTGTTTCAAGATTCCAAGCTATGCACTAATGATAGTGAAAACATTATCAAGGGCTGTCAAAGAAGTCATCTATAGCTATTTATAATCCATTATCACCGTACCAAATCTTAAACTTAGCAATAGTGGAAAGAATAAACTCTTTTCATATGGTCTTGATTCCACTTTAAATTATATTGGTATAAACTGGGAAATTGACTGGAATGACTGGAATTATGGTGTGTGAAATCAAGGAATTTCATATTAAAATAAACCCCATTACAGTAACTCATACAACTAAGCCTCTTTCTGGGTTAAATGGATAGATTGAAGTGGGAGGCACATAGAAGTAAGAATGACAGACCAATAAGGGATTCCTAGTCTCTTCAGTAAAATCTAGTAAAATCAGATTTGAATTTCCATAAAACTCCATCATCAAAAATGCCTTGGGATATACATTAACAATGCCATTGTGAACATGCTGATAAAACAGGTATTGTATTAGTGAAGCTACTCAAGACAAAAGATGTCAGAAAGATAATTCCTTTCCTGTGGGATGAAAATAATGAGCTCATAAATTTATCTTAGAAGTAGCCAGTGCTTTAAAAGTAAGGAGCATAAATTGTACTCGCAGGAGAGTTCAGAGAGACAGGGAGCTATTCACTCTTTTCCACGTAAAATTGAAATGCCATGAGTTACTGAGTTGTAGAGAGAAATTATTAAGTCTCCTTTTAGTCCTGAAGAACTAACAAGACAAACAGTGAAGTACCCAAGCCTAGCCAAATTTAAAACCATTTTTTCATGTGCTGGCTTTGTAGTTGTTCTTGTTTCAGAAGGAGGTTGTTTTGCCATTCAGAGCTATTATTCTATATGTTTACGTTGATCTTTTTAAAAACAGAGCTCCCTTCGTGAAACCAGAGTCCATGGAATTTATTAAAGCATATGACTCTTTGAGCAATATCAGTAACACTCAGATCTACAGCTGCTAATTTTCGCTCACACAGAGATTTGTTACCAAATCATAATTTCTGGAACCAAAACTTTGAGTTTAGCCATGCCATTTAATTTATCTGTGCTAAGCATACTACACTCTCAGAAGACCACATTTTAATGCCTATCTGAAACTAGAAAATTGTATTTTGTGGGAATTTTTCCCTAGAAATAGGCTACAAAGTGCCAGCAGAGCCATTCTCTGAGTCCTGCTACAGCCATCCATTCCATCCTTTGGTAGCACATTTTATCAAGAGTCATAAATGCATACAGCATACATACATGTGTGTGCATGCCTGTCTATTTTTCATACACACAAAGCCTCAACATGACCAAAAATCAAAAGGAGGTAAAAGAAGCAAAGTCATTAATGCAACACATTTGGAAGACTGGGAGAAGCATTCCCACATGATATATGTACATCTTCTTATAGTTGTTTTTGTCAGAATTATTTCTTTATGATATAAAAATGCTTCCATAACATAAGCCAGATCAAATTTGTGTAGGATCAAGGTAACTCTGAAACAAACCTGAAGCATCCCTTACCAGGAAAGACTTAAAAGGTCTTTCTTGACCTCCTCATGCCTCAAGATTTGTTAGGGGTTTATTTTACTTTTGTATTACTTACCAGGAAAAGGATGAATTTTAGTAGCAGATATGGTTCTTCTTTCATGTCTGGAACCCTTTCTTCTTAGAATAGTAGAAACTGATACTGCTACTCTGTGTTTACAACCTGTTTTAAACAAAATGTGTTGTCCTCAGCTACAGAATTACATACAGCACTGATTAGAAAGCTGGTAAACCCCTTATTCTTAAACTTTTGAACACCTTCCATGAAAAAACAGGAAGGGCCAGATGTTTCATATTTTCCTATATGAAATTTTCTGGAACGTCCATTCAGATTTGCCCCTTTCAAATTATTCCTTCCCTTTTCTATACTGTGTACCTTGAACAAATTTTGGAAGGTTATCCAAAATTACACATTCCAGTACAGATTTGGACTCACACTGCTGACAGTGGAATAGCAAGGATGGAGTGTACTGGCATCCTAGGAAGCTGACAGATTCTTCGCAAGTGTGGGGTGTTCATCTTTGGAAGCACAGTTTGAGAGCAAGCTCTACACCGCTCAGACAGAGAAAGATAGAGCTGGGTTGAACACCTCTGACTGTTCCTTAGCACCTTGTTCATAAACCCTCAGTCTTCCCATCCTTCTGCTACTCTCTAATACTGTACTGTTGCTGGGTTGTTGCAGATGATTGTGCAGCTGTTATGGTTAGCCCTGTTCTATGATGACGGCAGTTCAGGGCTCAGCCAGCTTCTGATGACAGGCTCACTTCAATTCTCCATAACAGAACTGATTTTTATCTTTTTCTTTTGAGAACACTACAAAACTTCAGCTTTAAGAAATTCATTAAATTAGCATTATTTAGGTCATGATTTTTTTATGAATAGCCAGTGGAGATCTAATGCACTGAAGCCCTAAGCATGCACTTTAACAGTTAATGTCAAAGGAAGCTCTGGAAGTGGTCATAAAACAAGAGAGGAAGGGAAAAGGCAAAAGGACTAATTTCTAATTTATCTCATCTCCTTTGTCATGGATCAGTTGTAACCTCCACCAAGTTTATTTGGATATTTTATTTTATGCACCCATGGAAATAATTAATGTTTCAGAGAGTCTCAGAGTCTGCCTAGCAGAATTTCTTGCAAGGTCTCAAGAGGAAATGAATAATTCCATATTTCTTAACAGCTTTCAGTGATACTCAGAAATTAAGAGGAAAAACTACTAATTATGACTATGAATTATGACTTCTTAGCAGCTGTTTTAGGCACATAGTAATATTCTGCTGTGTTCTTTGGGCACCACTGAAAAAAAGCAGTATGTAGACTTGCAGTTAAAGGTGGCATGGTAATATATACACATAAGGAATACAACCCTTAAATCTGATTTTTATGTGCTTGTCTTCTTATCAGTAACATATTGATGTTTTTTATAATGTTATATATTATAAATTTAACTAATAAAACCACTATTCCACTATTAACAGAAAATATATTCTAAAAGCAAATCAGTAATTAGAAGCCTCAGAAGGGCATCTTTTCCTCCCTGCTTCTGTCCATAACAATTCTGAAAAACCTGCATTTAATAGAAAACTATTGTTTAAGAATAAAGGCAGTAAATCATTAATCATTACTACTAATAGTCCTGCATTAAATATGGGATGTTATGCCTCAGAGCATAGAAAATCATACTCATGGCATTTATAGGTAGCTTTCCAATTACAAATAAAAGTCCTTTAAATTAAAGCATTTAACTGCCCACTTATAAAGACCTAATTTATACTTTGTGGGATTTTTTATATACATAAAATAGGTCTCAGAATTTGGTTCTAGCACTAAGTAAAAGATCCTGTATTTTAACCATGATAATCTGGTAAGGAGGTTTTTTAATTGGTGGGGGGGCAAGGGCGAGAAGATTTGCCATTTTAAGCAACTATTTTGCTTATTCATTAAAAATATACGCATAAAATATTTACATTATGTGAAAAACCCACAGAAATATTTTGCGTGGGGGCAGTCTTCTTCCTTCTGTTCAGTTCTGATTAAAGCTAGACTCCTATTGCTCTTTCGTTACAAAACTCCCTGTGGATGCAGTAAGGATGATCAGAGGAATGGATATGGCCTATCATTTTTTTATTACCCCTGTGACCAAGGTCTCCATTTGGCAGCTCTGGACTACAAGGTGAATGGACATCTGCCTGGTAATAGCAACTAAATGCTGGTTGTCCGGAGACGTTCTGCCTGCTCAGGGCTGACACAGGCAGAAAGTCTCAGGAAATTGCTGTGAAAAACATCTAAGACCTATTGTCTCAGGTAACAGGTTAAGTAACACTCTTTTCACACTGATGAAAGGGAGTGTGCTCCCTGTACCACCTACCTCTGACTTGGGATGAAAAACAAGGGCCAGCAGCTGACAAGCGGTCAATTTTCTGCATTGTTTTGGTGCAGAGGACTTTATCTTGATTGCTCAAAAGTCTCAAGCTCATGGTACTCCTACACCTTAATTCTTGCTTTCTTCACTGTATATTGCTAGAAGAAATACTGTAAATCCCATTTCAGCCTGTATCACAAGTGAATTGCATAGGAAGAGCCTGTCTTGGCTGGTGAAGGCATTCTGTAGAAACAATTGTTTCAGTCTCTGAACTAAGGACAAGTTCTTTCACAGTAAAGTTTTAATCACTTGGAATAGTCAATAGTGCTGATTCAGAAATCACAGCAATATTTTCTTTGCTGAAAACAGCAAAGAGAAGAAATGTTATCTGGACTTAATTCAGCTCTGGGGTTAAGAAGGCACAGCTTGGTTGACCTGTATGGGATTACACCGCTGCTGAATTTAGATAACCAGTTTTTAGGACAGACAGCTGAGTGCGTATCTCCTCATACTTATCCTGTAATGTTTCTTGACCATGACCTAGATGAATCATCTTCAGGAAGGAAAGGGTATTTCAATCTGCTTATATTGGTCATTGGCATTTCTGCTTAAGACCTTCAACAAGGTTCAACTGTAACTGTTTTATCTACTGGAATCAGTCTGAAACCAGAAGTTCATAACACTAAGGATCATAGTCCACCAGGCATCTGTCAAAAAAACCATTTCATTCACCATCAACAAGCTTGGATTTGCATCTACAATTCAGAGGTGAGAGGTGATAGTATCAATCATCTGAGTATTTCAATCCCTCCATAAGAAGCTTTTACTGTATTACTATTAAAATATTGGAGTCTAAACCACATTAATAATCAACAGCTTTGTTATTGTAAATTAATACATTTTTCATTGCATAGAAATTTAAATTCATGCAGATTAACTTTGTGTTACTCACAGTTTTGTTCACTTTCTTGGACTATTTTGTAGATGACAATTGAAATAGTAAACACAAAAACTACTGGAATCATAGTGAGCCAAACGATCTTCGTCATACACATTGGATCTGTCCATAAAATGTAGAAGAGATAAAATGAAGCAGGAAAACATTGGCAGAGGAAAGCAACACATTCGATCTTGGTAGGTTTTTGGACCATGCTTATCCCCACAGATAAAAATTTAAAACAAAAGAGAAGATTATGCCTTTTTCTTTCAGCCTTCTTTGTTGTTTGAAATCAAGTTTCCTATCTAGAATTTAGCTTCATTTTCATCTCTGTCTCCCCATGCCTGAAATACTTATACATAGCTAAGTGAATGAAAACTTTTCCTATTTGTATAAACTGTTACATGCAAGTCAGCCAGGAAGAAAATGCTTCAAAGATCAACATTTATATTTAAGGTAGAACAAGGGTAATTTATATCCCCTCTTTGTTTGGATGGAGTACAGAAGGAATCGGTCCACTGTCCCAACACTGGCCTGTACTGGCATTCTCAACCTCCTGGTCCGTCTTCATGTATTGGAGAAGGTAAGATTCTACATATAGACATTTTCTTATCAAAAAGTGAGGAAATGCCACCAACAGGACCCCTCTGGGGAGTTCTTTTAACTAAAGGTGCCTTGGGGGAGAATCAGCATGGGACTGGGTGTAGGAGGCAGGCTGCTCTTTCGGACAACAGCTACTGCAAAAATGCATCCACATTCCACAGGGAATTAGCTCAGTAACTAGTACAAGCCAGGACTATATACCACAGAGAAAGGATGTGGGGAACTTTCCTCCCTGGTTGTTCAAAAGGCCTTTCAAACTTCTTTGGCAGCTGCATGTTAATGCACACATTGGCACTGTCAGATAACTATTTTAAAAAACAGCTATATTACTATGACTCATATAAAATCAAATTACAGACTATAGCCAAACCTCTGTTTTCCTTTCCTTGACTTAGAATAGTGTAATTAGACCTACATCAACTTCCCTTGTGTTATCTTCTCCATTAAGAAGTCATGAGGTAACTGCCAATAACCCCATGGCTCTTTGAGGTAAGCACAGCTCATCCCTTCTAATTCAGAACTAAAAATATCTTTTATACAGTCATTTAGGCTCCTTTCAAACAGAGTACTCTACCCCATCTTGTCATGACTTGTAATGACTTGTATACCAACCTTGCTTACAAAAAGCCCTGAGCACCTCTTTAGCTTTGTTTTGAAGTAAATAGAAAAAAGATGTGTTGTTAATTTTTATTGTTAATTTGAGATAACTACTTCCCAGGTAAATCACCATTAGCAAAGGGTGGTTAGCTCATAGTTTTGACACGAGTTAGCAGGGCAAGTTAGAAAATATACTCCTCTCATAGCTAGACCTACTTATTTAACAAAAAAACCCTAAGCTGCCCTCTCTTCTCTAGGATTTTACCTGGCTTTAGCCAACTCCAAAACACATATTTTTTTCCAGCAAAGTTACAGCATAAAATGCATTTGCCATACAGAACTAAATGAATGTAATAATTCAGCAATTCCCAGACGGCAAGCATTGCATAAAGACAGGCTGGAAGCCCTGACCCTGGTCAGGCAATCAGCCAAAAAACTCCTGCAGCACAAAGAGAAATTTTAAAAGCTGACAGGTTGTCCTCTGGGAAAACTAAGCCTGGTTCAGCTGAAGATTTCTCTTATAAGTGTACTGTAGTAAGGCTGTATAATAGGCTATTGCAGTACAATATTAAGAAAAGTCAAACCTGTCTCCTGGTTCTTCTGCCAATGAAGTTAACAGGAATTTTTAAATTTACCTCCAAGACAACAGGGTTATGCCATTATCAGGGAGGGGAGAGGAAAAACGTAATTCCAGGTTTTGTCATACATGTAATTTGTGAGTCTGCCACCACTGAGCAAAAAAAATGTACAGACACTTTGCTGTGTTGCTTCTAGGAAAAAAAAGCCACAGCTAAGCCTGCTTTAAATCACTATAAAAACTGTCAGATGCCTACTAAAGATGGTCTTTTACTAAGGGATGATCAAAATTGTATTCTCTTCTTGTGAAATACTTAAATGGTTGCTGAAAGCAGGGAACTACCTACTGGAGATTTTTTGCAAGATTGATATTGTTTCTGGTTTGACTTCCATTCTGACTCTCCTTTGTAACTTACATTCCACGTAAGACTTCAGTTGCAGTGAAATATTTATACAGTCATTTTGGTCTTCCATCATTGCCACTAGACAGGAATGATTTAGGTATTCTTCAGCTGCATTTCTTCCTTCAACTATAGAATTGTTGATGTGGATTTCCAGCAGGTAGTAAGTATTGCGTTCTACTTCTTCTTTCTCAGAAACCGTAGTGAAATTAAAATATTTATAAAAATCAGTAACATCTTCTGTTTCCAGTTCAAGTGAGCCTTTTGCTTTTGGAAATAAAAATTAAAACAAAACTGTTATATAATGTGGTAGACAAAGAGACAACTCTCAGAAAGAACAATAAAATAAGTTCTCTTTCTCGTTTTCAAAAACATCCAGTAGGCTTTTACATGATTGACTACAATAAAATGGGCAAAAGGATACCATGTAAAGTTATTCTGAACAGATCTGAAGAGTATTAATTATCTATACAAAATATATTTCCCCTGCAAATTATAGCCCCTTTTTTTGCTTTACTTCCAGCTTCAGAGCTTTTCAGTTTTTTGTTTTGTTGTCTGTTGTCAAAGGTAACAGACAAAAATCAGGCTGTGAAAAAAAAAAAAACAAGTAAAAACCATACAATGATAGAGATTTGAAGTGTACATCTAGTCGATCTGCTATCAGTTGCAGAAGGTCCTTGTTTCACTTTAAACCACACAAGCTGTGAGACTTGCACAATGTTAGCAAGAGGCATAGGTAGGTGAGACATTGTCAAAAGCGTTGGAGTTGTATAGGTATAACTGAGAACAGAGTTTGTCCACGTATTTTTTGTTTTGTTATTTTCCATACTTGTTAAGACAGCTATTTTGTAATAAGAAAATGACGCAGCTGGAGAAAAACTGCATTTCTTATATTCAGGACTAGGCCTGTTGCCCCTGTTGCTGACAATGTCAGGAAAGCAGAATTCAGAGGCATCTTCTTCCCCAAAAGTTGCCAGATACTTTGCATATGTATACGGCACAGAAGGAATAAGCTACTACTGCTCTGAAAATATGTGGATGTTGCTGAACTCTTCTCTGTATTGCTGTGCCAGTCCTTATTCAGTGCTGCCTTCTATGAAACGTGCAAGACCATTTCTGATACTACAAAGTTATGGATATCATAGACTACAAGCACAAAAATGGTTATTTCTTGTATAGCTGCCATCTGAATAGTTACCATCTTTGAATTAGTTCTTCAGATACTTGCTCACAACTTATCTTCATATAATATAAGCAATCTATGGGTAGAGTTCCGCAATGACATTTAAAAGCAAATTCAGCATGAAAACTGATCAGAAACTACAACTCCTTAAAAATAAACAAAATATTTCAGAAAATCTATCAAGATTAAAAGAATAAAGATAGGGATATAAGAGCGTTCATAAAAGCCAAATGGCAGAGGTCAAATTTGCAACAGAAATATTCCAAGTGGCTGCTGGATAAGGCACTCTTTTTTCACAGCACCCTCTTTCCAGACCAATACAAAGCCCCCTGAAGATAATTACATGCCCCCCCCCAGTTTTATACAAGATCCTCAAAGAAAAGAAATCAGCATTTTGCTACCAGCAAGCTTCACTGACAGCCAGGAATGAATGTCACTGAGAATCTGGCATAAAACCTGTGTTTTCTAGCCATGCAAAGACAAGCTAAAAACCCCCCATTGTTCATAGAATTGCAAAGACCATAGAGAACCAGCAGCATATTATAACTTTCTTTCAACTACCAACTAAAAATGTGTCTTTTATGTTGTAATTACTTCAAAACTACGTATTTCTCTTCCCCTACTTACTTTTTTTAGCTACCGACCCTGATCCTTGATCATCAACATTCACATCTCTCTTGGATTCACACTCTGTGTGTTCAGTATGGGACTGTTGTTCCCTCTTGGAGGACTGGCAAATACATGGAATATTTTGGAAATTGGAATGATTTACAATTGCCTTCAGTAAAATAGTCTGGTTTTCTCTTCTGTGTTGCACTGATCTTTTGCAAGAATTGTTAAAAGTACAAAGTGGAAAAGTGGTGTTATTTGATGAACAGGTATCCATGCATGACACAATTACAGTGTTAGCTGTAAAAAAGAGAGTACTATATTAGCAAGACAGTCATATAGGACACATGGACAAATACACGCGTGGAAGCACCATGTAACAGATCCTTTAACCATCTTACTGTGAAACACACTTTCTTTCTTGAGGGTTATGGCAGCACATTGAATGCATCAACAAGTGAGAGAAAGCAAGCACAGAGTCTTCCCACAACATAGATGCTGGATTTTATTGCTGAATTGTATGAAATCTCTTGTAATACTAACTTGAATTTGTGGTGGTATCTAGTCACATTCCTGTTTCAAAGCTGCTCCAATTTGATTGTACTTGAAAAGAAGATGAAAGCACTGATGTTCAGAGGGGGAACTTAGTGCTGGAACTGTGCAGTTGCAATGCACCAGTGCAATTATGTTGTAAAATGGCTATAATCAGAACGAAAACTTTCTTTCCAATGACATTGAAACCACACAGAGAAAATACACAGAAACAATGCTGCTGAATCCTCTGATCACACCCTTCATGTTCTCTTACATTCAGTCAACAAACATGAATCTTAATTATGACCATTGGTTTTGGTATTCATAGTCAAATTTCAGTATCAAATTACTGTAGCTAGAGTGCATTAATGCAGTTCTGGCAAGTAGCAAAAAACACGTAGAATTAATTATTAATGAGTGTTATTTTAGCTGTCTTCCACATTAAAGTAGGGCTTTATTGTACAAATTGTGCATTTTTACTTGAGTTAACTTTGAACTATTTTTTCAATATGAAAAAAAAATTAAGAATAAAAAACTTCTGGGACCCCAACATGAAATACATATTTATGAATACAAAGAACCACTTCCTGGAGTTGATGCAGCACTAACCTATAGTTTTGTAGCTGAGCTTCCAATTCTAGCAGTACCCTTGCATCTCTATGAAGAGGGAATTTTGCATCTAACTCCCATTATGAGTAATTGGAGCAATATGTTCATAAATCCTTATGTATAGAGAGAAAAACACAGCTTTTAATTGCTCCAGTGCTCAGCTGCAATCTGACAGCTTCAATGGGCCACCTGTGCACACATAGCAGCAGGCTGACCTCAGAAACGGTTCAGTGAAGGATTTCAGACAGGATACAGAAATAAAATCCAAAATTCAACACCAAAGTCAATTATCTTCACTTTACTAACACCACATCAGAGAGTCATAAACTCCTTATAAAACATAATAAATTGAAATGTAAAATACACATCCTATGCCGGTAAGAAAATAATTCATTTTACTACAAAAAGGAAAAATGTCAGACAAAATTTAGGGCTTGATCTTTCCGTGAGGCAAGTCAAAACATTATCCTTGAAATGCTTACAATCTGATCCATGCAACCTGGAGTCAAATTCTTCCAGCTGAAGGAGGCATTTTGTGCAGAGCTTCTCTGTGGAGATGAGCCAGGAGCAGAAATTGAATGCTTATTCTGCTGTCATGGCAAGGCATGCATGCATCTGGGCAACCAGTCTAAAACCACTGCTACAGGTCTCAAGGTCAACTAACAGTAATTCCCTACCATACCCCTTTCACCAAGAAATTTGTACATGGACTTGGGAATCTGCTGACTGTGCTGTGACAGCAGTCTATGTACAGCACTATGAAGCCTATTTTGGACTTCACACATGGCTAAACAGGCTCCAGAGCTGCCTGTAAGCCATATTGTAGATAGGCAAAAGGCAGGTTATCTGAGTGGAAAAAGTGTGAATGCTGTCCTGTTAGGGAGGGTGCTTAACATCCTCTTGAAAGATCTCTACTGAGAAAGCCAATCAAATTACGACCTAGCATCAGTAAACTTAATTTTCTTGACTCACAGGACTGTGGACTTTCTAGAGAGGAATATATGTTGTTGAACACCATAAACAGAGCTGCAAAAAACCTAGGCTTTCCCAGTGGATTACATGGCAGAGAGAGAGCTGTACCCGCAAAAGGCTTGCTCCTTACTGCAAGACTGAGAAGCACTCTCCCAAATGCAAACTTCACTAGAAATGTGGAAAGGGTTTTGTGAAATCTGAACGCAAACTGCCTGAAGAGTTAAGAGGATCACTGACATGAAACCATGCAAAGTACCTCTAGAAAACTGCTGTATATTCAAAGATCTGTAACCTGCATCCTTAATGTTAGGAAGTTCTGTGATTATGAAATTCCTTTATTAAGCCTCTATTTACAGGGTGTTGATCCATAGAAAATCCAATTCTATTAAAATGAAATTATTCACTCTTTGATGTTTGACAGTAAGGTCAATGTTTTCTTCTGGTAAGAGTCATGTCATTGTTTATTTGCATAGTCTGTGCTAGCAAATACTTTGATTACTTCTGCATGGAGGTAAAACATTAATTATTCCAGTGTCTTAAACTGACTCATCAATTTTATGATATTCAAAACTTATGACAGCTTACCAAGTTTGTTTGTTTATAAACTATAAGAATCTATGAATTATATTCTAGTTACTGTCATGTTTATCCTTTGTGGTTAATGAAAATAGAAATGTGAATATAAGTAACCTAATCTGGATATATTTTTATATTAATTTTTTCCCAGAAAATTATGCTTCATAAATCATTTATTTCATGGTGCCTGGGAATACACACCATTTGTCAAAAGGATGCTTTTTATTATAATATTTATCTATTCAAAAGCTCACTTAGGAAAGGATGTGACATAACTATTTTAATATTAATTTATTTATTGATTTTTAAGAAAGCACTAAATGCATACCTTTCACACATATATTTTGCTTTCATCCTAAATCCAGTATCGACCTTTAGGATCACCAAGGTGTATCTGGGATTTATGTTAAAAGATTTGCTTCACTCAGTTACACCCATTCCACTCTACTTTCTGCCAGGTTACCACTACATATCTCTTTCACAGAAATTATCTCATACCAGATAGTAGTTGTACAAGTATAGAAACTTTAAAAAAGACATGAGTACCTGCTCTAAAAGAACATACATTATTTTAACTACTCTCTTCACGATGAAGATAGTAAAAGTACAGTTGCATGGAAATAGTTACCAAAAATTTTGCAGTGTATGTAAATGAATGACAAACTCCTTTCAAATTACTGCATATAATTAACTCTGTTTGTTAAAAATCTAATGAAAAAAAACTATATGCTTTGCAAAGTTCATATGAGTACAGCATCCTAACCATCACTTTTAGGGAAGCATGTGCCAACTTTTCAACTGCACTCAGACTTTTGAATAAATAAAAGGCTATTTTAAAAGCTCATCACTCACCTTCATGGATTTTGAAAAATTCAGGTAAACATAAAATAAACATGGTAATTATTCCAAGTACTAATCTGAAGAGTTCTGGTTTTCTCAAAAGCAAGCACATGTCACTGAAGCACTCCCATCTAGCATAGTGGTGGTAACTTCCTTCCTGGTTTAGCTTTTAACTTGGTGCAGACTTTATGCAAAATAACATCTATTCATTTCCTTTTTTCTAATAGGACTTTTCTTTTTATTTCTCGTTACATTAAGTTGTAGAGAGCCAAGTTCTGTTCTTACATTAGCATAGATGAGAATGATTCAAATGAATACACTGAAGATAAAACTCATGTACTGCAATGAAAATAAGAGAAAAATCATGCATAGAAACTATTTTATTGATTTGGGGTAGCTTTGTTTTAGGAACATTACCCCCTAATGGCCACTTTCATATGCCTTCTAAACAATAAATGAATCATCTTTGTGAAGGAATTTTGTTCTCATTTGTCCAAGAAGATTTTTTAAAAATTAGTCAGACCCTCATTATAAAAATGAGTCAGAACCACATGAGTCAGATATGGAGATTTTATTGTTTTATTTATATACATATGCATTGGGTCTAGGGGGAAGATAATTGTATGTAATACAGAATCTTTAAGGCTTTAATAGACTGTTAATTTGATCACTACAACTTAAAGTTTCTGATCTCGCAAATAAGTGATGTACTGAGTACAATGAACTGAGTATGAGATGTTCATATTATCATTGCTTCTGTATTCTTAAAAGACAACAGATGTGTTTCTGATCTGTAGAGAATCTTCAGTATGTACGTTACTATCCTTTACACCACAAGAAGGCTGGATAGAGCCATTACTATTCCTATACATTTTAGTCACAATTTTTCAGCTAAACTTTCCAGTTAAAAAAGTGAAGTCTAATTCTGACAACCACCATGATATTCCATAAATTCTTCTTACAGATGAGACTGCAAAGAACATTTCTGAAAAGTTCTGAATAAAAGTACTCTGAATAATGCATATGTAAAAGCAAACAATTTGACTCAAATATGGAGTATATACAGTATGAAGGATTTAATTAATTCAGAAAGCTCTCTTCTGATACAGTATTTTTCCCATAACCCATTAAATATTGAGTACTACCAAAATTAAGCAATGCTGTTTAAGTTAAAATAAGAACTGTCCTGCAAACCTGAAATGGCCTTTTTGTCATCTATTTATCTCAGAAGATGAGTAAGCCAGGTAGAAGCAAATACAGTATTCATTCTATAGAAAGACTCTTAATGGAGCTGTAGTGAATATAAATTTGTTAATATGTGTTGTGGTTTAACCCCATACAGCATGTATGGAATACCCCTTTGGCTAGTTCGGGTCAGCTGTCCTGGCTGTGCTCCCTCCCAGCTTCTTGTAGACTGGCTTGCTGGCAGAGCACGGGAAACTAAAAATCCTTAAATAGGATAAGTGCTATTTGGCAACAACTAAAACATCAGTGTGTTATCAACACTATTGTCACACTAAATCCAAAACACAACCCTATACCAGCTACTAGGAAGAAAACTGACTCTATCCCAGCCGAAACCAGGACAGTATGATATTTTAAATGTAGCACTTTTGCAATGAAAGCAATGAAACCAAAGTAAAATGAACTGATTTTTTTTGACAGTATGGTACAACGGAAGTACTAAGGATACAAAAAAATCATAGGTATGAATTTAAAAAGTAAAATACACCCACTGCACAATTTATATTTGTCATCTGTTAGCAAATTAGCTCTACTTCGTGAGAGGCTGCATTGCCCCTTAAGTCTCTTCCATATCAGTTTTTTTATTTTCCTGTTTTCAAGGCTGCATGGTGTTCACCCATCCTTTCTGCCCAGAAGGAATGGAGAAAATACTGGAAAATAACAGGAGGACTTTGCCGAGTAGTATGTGTGTCTATCGGTTTCTGATACATGCAGGCTTTCATCGTTGTTGGTAGTGCCCAAGGTCAGAATAGAAATTGCCCTACAGGATCACACTGGAGTTCAGCCTGATATAATAATAGCCTGTGGAATATGTTGAGTCCCAGATTCTACAGAAGGTTTCCAAAAACTCTGCAGTAAGCAGATGGGAAATATCTACTTTAGGACTACTGTGATGGCACATTTTAGTTTAGTTTCTGAGTTCAGGAGGCCCCTGTATGATCTGTCCACATGACCCCCAGGGATACCCTAAGCTTTAGACGCTGTTACCCTCAGGCAGTTGTGCGCGTGTGAACTAGCTGAATCACGTGCAGGTGTGTGGCCTGACCTGCCAACTGACCTGAAAAACATGAGTTTTCCTTCTTGGGGACATGCTTCCCTCCACCACACAGCTGGAACAATTAGTACCTTTGAAAACTCTATCCTTCAGTCAAATTTAGTTAAAATTGGCTAAATTGTTTAAAGTCAGCCAGGATAAGAACTGGCAGACAGATGAAGCACACAGCCACGTAGGCCACATTTCCTTACAGAGTTAGGCAAAGAACGCACTCTATACCTCATTACTGCATCAAAATCGTACTGCCACGCCTCAGCAATGATGTCGCGCACCCTTAAATCAGTTTTATCCGTCGGAAGCACATCCGACTGTCACACAGCCTATTAAGCAGGAAAATTATTCTACCTCTGGAAGGCAGAGGTCGCGGGTAAGGCATTGCGTAACAAGGCCTGCCAAGGCTGGAGCGCGTTTGCCCATTAGACGGCGAGTACTGGCTGCCCCAGCACCGCACGCTGCCGGGGTTCTGAGAGGAGGTTAACGGCTGCCTGGCGTGTCGCTGCAGATTTATTTCACTTAAATGGGGTAGTAGGAAGTTACGGAAATGCTTAGCTTTGTGCTTTTGGAAGTCGGGCAAGGGTACCAGGGACAGGATGAGGCCTTTTACAGGGGTAATCAAGAAACCCCACAAAAGGGGAAACTACCTGCCCCGCCGGGAGGGGGAGCGCAGCGCCGGCGGGGCGGCAGCCTGAGGGGAGCCGCCACACGCAGCCACGCGCTGCCCCGGCCCTCGGGCGCGAGGAAGCCGGGGGCTGGCCGGCGGTGGCGCGCGCCT